CGTTTCGGGCCTAGACCCTTCATCAGCCCGAAACGTCAGCCTTCCTGCTCCTATGATGCTGCTTGGCCTGCTGTGTTCATCCAGCTCTACACCTTGTCATCTCAGATTTTCCAGCATCTGCAGTTCCTACTATCTCTCATCCACCCACATCTTCTGCATTTTGTTCACAGGGTCCTTATTTGCCATGAAAGGCTGGTTTGGAGCTGTATTACATCTCCTAATGACTTTACCACCGCTGTGAAGGAAGGAAATACTGTTCTGTGGACATGGTAGAAATTGATTCTGCCCCTAAACTACAGGTCAGTAAACAGAATTACTTTCTCTTTAGGTTCCAGAAATGCTAAATGTGGTGAGGAATCTTACGGCCTACTACAATTTACCTCAAATAAGAGCAGGAAGGCCAAACGAGCAGCAAAAATTTGCCAGAATTGACCAGTATGCTCATAGTTGTATTCATTTCTGTAGTCACGATACCTGGGGATGAAACAAATGAAACGAATTAACTCACATGGCATAGCAGTAATGTCACTTGATGAAGAAACCAGAATTACAGGCTAATGATCTGGGAAAATAGATTCAATATCCACCATAGAAGATGATGAAATTTGAATTCAATGGAAATTATGGAATTAAAAGTGACTATTGTTGTAAAAGCCCATGTTGGCCAAAATGGCACCAGAACCGATGAAACTAGCCCTGTCAATCCTGCAAAGTCCTCCATACTAATGCCAACAAGCTTGTGAAAAATTGAAGGTATCCCACAGACTAGTAAAGCAACAGCCTGACAATCATAGTCAGAGAATCATACCTTACATAAAACCTTATACAGTCCTGCCACATCTGGCCATGTCTCTGGTGGACAATTAATCAGAGTAACTTGCATGGTCAGAATGAGGGAGACTTCACAAGAGTGGGACTAAGACAGTGTAACTGGGACTTTGGGTCAACGTGGAAATTCAGGATAGAGTTGGTTAAACCAAAGAAGGTTTACTTGAAGAAATAAAGTCTCCAGAGTGAGTTATGAGAAGGAAAGGAAATAAGTTATGAATTGTAAGGCTTACCTGTATGAAGGCATAATGTCATGAGTGTAGGGAAAGCAGCTAATTGGTGAATAGGTTTGATCAGAATTTCCAATCTTTAAAGTGAAAGTTGGGGATTTAGTTTAAGTCTACACATTTTTTTTCTCCTATCTCTTTCTGAGAAATAGCTCGTTGGATTTTCATAGTAAATCCACACTTATTCCAAAGAGAACAAATACTATATAGAGTTGTGAAATGACAGGTCAGAATGGCCAAATGGAGTATACATCCTGCATTACATGTGAAGTCATGGAGATGCCATGTGTTGTAGACAAGAATCTGCAAGAAGAGTCACTGACAGCACAAGCATGAGCTCCAAGTTTTGGAATTTTAGGAGTGGTTGCAGTCAGAGGACTATGTGGATAGCACGTATAGGGAGATGGTCACACCATGAATTAGAAGTGTATAGGCAAATCAGGAATGGATAACTACCTGGCAGTGTAAGAAAACCAGACAGATATTGCAGGAGTCTATTGTGCTTACTAATTGGTATTCCATTTTGGTGAGGGTGATGGTTCTTCAGGAAAGTGCAACTAGAGTGAGGTCATTGGCACCACAAGCAACTCAGCTATAAACAGGAAGAGGAAGAAAAGTGGAAGAACAATAGTTATAGAGAATTGCATTGTTGGATTGAATAGTCATAGGATAGGCAGGCATTTCTGTGGCGGTAAACATGACTCCAGGATGGTGTGTTACCTTCCTGGTACCAGGGTCAAGGATGTCACAGAGTGGCTGCAGGAATTATCTGGGGCAGGGATCAGCCAGATTCATGGCTCTCTATGACATAGGTAAGAAGAGGGATGAGGTCCTGGAAGCAGATTTCAGGGAGTTAGGAAAGAAATTAAAAAGCAGGACCTCAAAAGCAGGAATCTTAGGATTACTCCCATATATTGGGGAGTATAAGATTAGGAGGGGTGGTCATTTGAATACATGGACGGAGAACATGTGTAGATGGGACGGACTAGTTTTGGAGCAGGTAGGACTCTTACAAGCTGGCCAGGTTAGGTCTCAATAGGACCGGCATGGATATCTTTGTAGGAAGATATGCCAATGCTGTTGGGGTGGGTTTAAACCAGCTTGTCAGGAAATAGAAACCTGAGGGGTACATCAAATTGGAAGGAAGTAAAGTAAGTGACAAGAAGTTGAAAAGATATTAAAGAGACTAGAAGACAGGAGAAACAAAGCATGTGTCCAGTTTGTTCCAAAAGTAAAATGATGTCAAAAAGACAAAGTTAAGGGCACTCTACTGATGAAAACAGAATTTCCAACAAGGTAGACTACTTAAAAGCATAAATAGAGATACATGAGGATGATCTAATTTCCATTACAGAAACATGGCTGCATGGCAACCAAAACTGGAAACTGAATATTGAAAGATATTCAACATTTAGGAAGGACAAACAAAGGGAAAAGGAAGTGAAATCACACGGATAATATGAGATGTGATCAGTACATTGGTACAGGAGGATCTCAGATCAGAAGAACGGTATGTAGAATTTGTTTGAGTCGAACTAAGAAACAGCAAGGGGCAGCAGATATTGGTTGGAATTATTTATAGGTCACCAAATAGAAGTGATATATGCAGAATGGTATTAATCAGGAGATGAGAGGGCATGTAGCATGGGAAGTACAGTCATCATGGATGACTTTAATATGCATATGGACTGGATAAACCAATTGAGCACTAAAGCTGTGGAAGACAAGTTACTGAAATGTGTTAGGGATGATTTTCTATAGCAGTATGTTGAACAGCCAACTAGGTTACTCAACATGCCATTTTAGATCTAGTATTATGTAATGATAAATAATAATTAACAATCTTGTTGAAAAAGAACCTTTAGGGATGAGTGACAATATGGTCGAATTAATCAGGAACAAAAACAGAGTTAATGATTCAGGTCAGGTGACTGAGTGAACTGAGTTCTGAGGAAGGGTCACCAGATCTGAAACATTAACTCTGTTTTTTTCTTCACAGGTGCTGCCAGACCTGCTGAGCTTTTCCAGCAACTTTGTTTTTGTTGTTGTTGTGATAGAATTTTACATTATGTTTAGAAGTGAGATATATTCATTCTGAAGGAAGGGTGTTAAATTTGAATAAGGGAAATTATGAAGGCATGAGGCACAAATTGGCTGAAGGTTGATGGGGAAAATACATTAAAGAACTAATACATGACTGACAGCAACTATATATTCTTTCAGGGTGCAAAACTCAAAAAAGATCAGTCAATTATGAAAGAAGTTCAAGATCATCTAAGATGAAAATGAAAGGCATAAAAATTTCCCAGAAATAACAGTAATTCAGAGGATTATTAATTCTGAGTTTGTATGACAATGGAGGACCAAGAAATTGGTAAGCAAAGAGAATAGAATACCAATGTAATCTGTCAAAAACAAAACTGGTCTGTAAAAGTTTCTATAGGTAGGTAAAAAGGAAATTCTAAGGTTTTGGAGTAGATTTGTAGCTCGGGTTATGGGTGTTCAGGTTGGTTGGCTAGGCGAGCTGGTTTGTTGTTCCGCAGGCATTTCATTACCCTGCTGGGTAATGTACGGCTAAAATGAATGCAAGTCCATTACATGCGGAGTCAGGAGAATTCATAGTGGGAAACAGGGAAATAGCAGGAAAGCTAAATGATTACTTTATGTCTTTTACTTTGTTTCACTGATGAAAATACCAGAAATCTCCCAGATCTAGGGGTCTGAGTGGTTAAGGAGAATGAGGAGTTGTAGGAAATTAGCATTAGGAAGGACACTACACTGGAGAAATTAATGGGGCTGAAAGGATAGTAGGTTAGATCAGGGAACAGTTGATTGTACCTGGTGACTATGTCTGCGGGAAGTGTGTTTGGCTGTGGCTTCTTATCAGACCGCATGGATTGGTTGGAGCAGCAGTTGGAGGCACTGAGGTATATACAGGATCCAGAGAATGTGATAGATAGTACCTTCAGGGAGGTGGTCACACTGCAAATCCAGTCAGGTAGATAGGAGACTGTCAGGAAATCAGGTGAAGTAGGCAGGTGGTGCATGAGTCTCCTGTGGCTAACCCTTCTCAAACAAGTATTGGATACTGTTGCCAAGGGGGATGGCCACTCAGAGAAAAATAGCATTGACAGTCAAGTCTTTGACTGGTTCTACTGTTTAGAGGAGTATGTCAAGGTCCAAGCGATCAATTGTGATAGGGGACTGTCTAGTCAGGGACACAAGCAGGTGTTTCTGCGGCCGTGAGCGAGACATCAGAATGATGCGTTGCCTGCCTGGTGCCAGGTTCAAGGACGTCTTGGAGCAGTCGGGGCAAATTCTCAAAGGAGAGCGTGAATAGCTGAAAGTCCCTGTGCATATTGGTATAACGACATAGATAGAGAAAGGGATGAGGTTCTGCAGACAGAATACAGGAAATTAGGCAGGAAGTTAAAAAGCAGGACCTCAAGTATAGTAATCTCTGGATTACTCCCGGTGCCATGTGCTAGTGAGAGTAGGAATAGGAGCACAGGTCAGATTAGTGTGTGGCTGAGGAGTTGGTGCAGGTAGCAGGGATTCACATTTTTGGATCACTGGGATCTCTTCTGGGGCAGAAGTGACCTGTAGGAGAGGGATGGCATGAACTGAAATGGAGGGGGACCAATGTCCTAGTGGGGAAATTTACTAGTGTTACTCAGAAGTATGGGGGGAGGTGGGCAACCCTAAGCAGTAATGAGACAAACAGAAGGTTGAGGCTGGTACAGTAATTAGGGGAAGCAAGTGAAATTGACAAGGCAGGCAAGAACATGGCAGAGAATAAGGTAAGACTGATGAATTAAATTGCATTTATTTTAATGCAAGAGGCCTGACAGGTAAGGCATGGATGGGAACACAGGACTGCGGTATCATAGCTAGTACATAAACATGGCTGAGGGAGGGACAGAACTGGCAGGGTATAGCTGCTATAGGAAGGTTAGAAAGGGAACACAGGATATTCCTGGGAGATCATCCAATGAAGCTATATGGGTAGAACTGAGAACTAAAAAGTGGTGATCATCTTGATGGGATTGTACTATAGGCCCCCAATAGTCAGTGGGAAATTGAGGAGCAAATATGTTGGAGATCTGCCCCTCATCTGGCTCTTTATTATTAGGAGCAAGGCCACAAATAGGGTAGGCATGGCAGCAGGATTTGGCTTATTCAGCAGATAATCTGTAGGGAACATCACTAGAAATCACCTGTGATGTTGAAGGGATGCCAAAGCCCTCATATCTTTAAAATCAAGCTGACTATTTTTCCTTCACACAGTGCAGCATGGAGGCTTCCCAAGGAGATCATTGTTATGCTTTGATAAGGAGATGAGAAGTTTGTAACCCCACCAAATGCATTGTGGCCAACCAAAGTGTGTATGTTCCATTGGGAATTGACTTCTGACAGTACACCATCATGAATTGCTTTCTGTAGTTCTGATGTTGATGTAGCTCCATGCCATAGAGTAACATGTCCACATCTTCTCTGATGAAACATTTACTTTTCAGCGCTCTCCATTGACACGAGCTGCCTGCCTCATCACTGTGCTAGAAAAGCAGGCTATAACAAGCTGCCAGTCTTTAACTTGGTACTAAAGGCATTGTATGCTTAAAAGCAGGCAAAGTCACAGTGTCTGCCTCCAAGTAAGATAGACTCTAAAGCAGCACTGAAACCTTGTGTGCTAGAAAGCAGGCTATGACACAGATTCTGTTTCAATGCTTAAAATTCTGCATAAATACAAAAGATGTCTCTGTCCCTCAGCACAAACCAGTGTATCACAAGCATGCATGTCCCGCTGTCCCTAACCTCAGAATTGCAAGCTTGGAGCCCTGAAGTCATGGCTAAGTTGGGCCGAGAGAGAGCATGATGTTGTGAGGCTGGTGCTTTGTCAATACTGGGTGTGTGGATGTTGATACAGAAAGAGTGCTCATTAACCATGGAGGCACCTTGTGCAGAAGGAGCAATTTCAAGTAAAGCAAAGCTTGACAGTTGGCCATCCCATGAGCTGCAACAGACACTGATGAGACAGGTTGCCAGGGACTTGTATTGTTTACTGGTTGGAATTTTGCGTCATCATGTTTTTCAATTGCAGAGAGGAAATAGTGACTTGGGTGATTAATGGCAAGGAAATGCATGGTAATAATCTACCTTCCCTGACAGTAATATTCTGAACTCACCACCTAAGGCTTGAGGTCTTAATCTGGTAAGCTTTTCTTGATGTTGAAAATCCAATTCTTGGGCTGTTGCCCAATTAAATTATTTACCTCACATTCATTCATTTGACCTACCTCAAAGAAGGGAAAATATCACCCAGAGTTCTTACCAAAGCATTGCCAGCATTTAAGGTTTGTGTCACTCAAGTCATATGTGATTTCACTCCTGAGCATGACTGAGGGTTTAAGAGTCATGAGAATTCCCTGGGAAGCAATCACACATCTGTAAGAATTATTTACAGTGATCATAGACCAGCTGCACATTACAACACTTTCAGATTATGAATGCTGTTCACTATTCCCAGGAATCTCCCAGACCAACACGTACAATTAGTTGTGTCTCTGGAATCTGTTGATGGCAGTGAAACCTATAGCCCTGGCTATCTGACTCTCAAGGTTTGTGCTGAATCTCCCAAATGCATTGAACCTTGTACATGGGACATGCAGGGGATTAGTGACTTCTCTAATGTATTTGAGAGTTTGACGTGAGATGCCACAAATGTCCATCATTGAGCCCTGAAAAGATCTGGCAGCGTAGAAATTCAAGGTCGTGGTGATCTTTTTAGCTACAGGCATTGAATTGCCTTCCAATCCATGCGGGCCTAAATCATCCTGAAAAATACAGGTGAGTGATGGAAGCCTGTGAAATTTTAGTCACCTATGATAGAGGGTAGTTGTGGTATATTCAATTAGGAGCAACTGATTAATGTCACCCTAGCGCTGGTTGCCAGCATCTTAAGCTGCAATTTGTTGGGGTCCCTTGTTGGAGTTGAAGGCATTGCATGACCTGGCCCTGTGTTGCTGATTCCTCTGCAGCTGCACAAGAGTTAGCAGAAGAATTGGGTGCACTTGACCCATCTTCTCTGTCTGAGGAGAACTGTGTTTAAAACTCAAACAAAGATCTGGTCAGTGTAGTCTTTGAATCCCAAAACGTCCTGAATACTTGACCACCCAGGAGCCCTATACTTAGCACTGACCATTAACTCCACCTGTGATCAACTTCACACACAAAGTTCACCAAAGAGAACTTGTTCTTATGAATGCATCCATGTCATGGACACTTGTACTATGACCCTTAAACTGTAAACCTCCCTCAATCACTTTTGATATTCCTTACATCACCTTCAGCCCCATTCAATTAACCTTACTCTGCTGTCAGTAATCTTTGACCATGCCCCATCACCTCAGACTACCTGTTGTTGACCATCAAACTACCCTCTCACCTCATCAGTCAGAAATCCCTCTTGCTCCCTTGCTGGTACAATGGAAGAAGCCCCTATTACTTCTCTGCTACTATCCATTATCCTCAACCCAGCCTGTGTCATTCTTAACTCTCAGGACTTCACCACTGACCTTCCCTGTATAACCACTGATTTCCCCACAATTATGCTTGACCTAGTGTCTTTCTACAGTGACCTTCCTTATATAGTCGAGCATCTCCCCCGATCCCTGCAAGACTTTGCAAAGCTGCCACCTCCCTCCTTTCCCAGTCATGCCCTGTTCCCTTGACTGACACTGCCTTTCCTTGGTCAGCAACAGTCAGTACCCCTTTGACTGGTATCTGAATCTCCCTCACTTGATCAGCCATGTTCTGTTCACCTTTGACACCCTCAGTCAGCCATGTTACATTCTCTTTTCATTGCTGTTCCTGTCCCTCCCTCATTTAGTCAGCTATGTCTGTTTTCCTGTGATTGCTGGCTGTGTCTCTCCTTACCTCCCTCTTGGTCAGCCATGCCTTGCTTACCTATAACTGCCAGTTCTGTTCTCCTTCCCTACTTCCTTTAGTCAGCTATGTGCCATTCACCTCTGACTGCCACTGCCTGTTTTCAATCATTGTCTGATCCCCAGTAGTTGAACAAAGCAGCTCCTGCTCACTCCAGTTCCATCAAGAATACCATCATATAGTTAAAAAGGTTGAATTTGAATGCACATGTTCCTTATTTGCTGATTACTTAATGACAAAGGTACACTTAATTTTGGCAAGGTTGTGTTTTAATGAATATTTTTGCATTAAAAATAGGTTCCCAATGGTTACCCGCAATCCACTGCCAAGTTAATTCTGTGGTTTCATCCTACTGTTAGGAAACTAATTTTTCACCTCCTGTCCCATTCCTGGGAGCAGCATAAGATTTTACCTTTTGTATCAGATAAAGTGAATCAGGTACTGGATTAAAGGGTTTGACAATGTTAGGATACTCACGAATTTGGAAATAAGAAATGAGCTTTTCACTAATGACTCAGTTGTAAAGTCCCTGCCAATTGTGGAAGTGAACCTTACAGACCTGGAATGTCCCAAATTCTCCTCCTAGTCTGTGTTGAATTAGGATGACAAATATGCTTCAATTAGCTTCAAGGTCCTGGATTAAGGAGAGGGGAAGTACGTTAAAATATCAATTTTTTTTATTATCGAGACACTCCTGCTAGAAAACCTCATGTGTGGATGTCAACAGCAGGATTAATATCTTACCTGCAGTGGGTTACTGAAAATCCTAATAACCCTGATCCATAATCCGAAGGAATAATATTATTATCAAAATCCTTCAAGTAGAATACGGAGAGGCTGTTATTAACATACCCAGTGAGACAGCTGCAAAGGAAATATAGGCAGATCAATGTGTAACAGCAACTTGCATTTTAATAGTACCTTTGATATTACAACATACGTCAAGATACTTTGGAGTGTTAAATGCAAGTGTTAATATAGCTAACAGTAGGAATAATGTTGATGTTAAGTTGTAAAGAAAATTAATGTCCATGTAAGGATTAAAGCTACTTAGGATCTTCATGTCTACAGACATGTTATACTGATTACTTTAGGTAAAAGTTGCAAGAGTTAAGAGATTGAACCATGACACAAGAGGCGAGTGTGCAGAAGCTTTGTGCATATGATACCCTGAGACTTGAGATTCCGCATATGTGAGAATCCTATGATGGAAGAAGAAAAAAGAAAAGCATTCAGAAGGTGATCAGATCAGCTTTGCCACAGTCCTCTAAAGATACAAAATAATGGGACCCAAAACAGGTTTGCTTTATAAAACTTTGGGAAGAACTCAGGAGGCACCAAGGATTCAGACTAGGAACTATAAGCAAGGGATATATGTAGTCAGATCTTCTACCAAGGTCATAATAGGTAATACAAATTTCTTCAGTCTCCTCTTCATTGCTTGCACTGGAAAAAAATGAATCACAGTCTTTAGAACTTAAAGCCCAAAGAGCATTACAAAGTGGCAACCATTGACAGCTGGGTATTGACTTATGGTTATTGTTTTTCTAATGCATTTTGTAGTGATAGTAACCTAAGACCCATGATCAGCTAGCCAAGTAAGGAAGGGAACGTAAGGAAGAATAGGACATTAGGACCTACCAGTACTAAAGCAACCAGTTAGCAGAGTTTGAGCATGTCAGGGATAAGATGTTTGAATAACTGTGAGTGATGGACTTAGATTCATGTCTGATGGGTCTGAAGTGAGTAATTGGATCCAGAGCCAGGTGTTTCTGGCTAAAATCCAGGTAAAGGAAAGCATCTGTTAGGTTAAGCAGCGCAAAGATATGCAAGAAGGCAAATATCTGCAGTTAAAATTCAAAATGAGCTGCTGTAGCATGTTGTCTCATAAGACAACAGTTAAACAGCAAAATAAATTCACATTGAATATTTACAAAGCTCTGTTACTGCAGGTTTGTTGATGATTCATAGATATTGCACTCCAAAAGCTTGTGTGATTTCAAATAAACCTGTTGAACTATAACCTGGTGTCTTGTGACTTCTGACTTTGACACAAAGATAGATGGCTTTGTAGAGAGGGGAGTTGAAAACAAAGAAGTACAAAGCTGTTAATATATTAACTGAAAGGGGAAAACTGGATTTCAATGAAGGTAAATATGAAGTCATTCTCTTTGGGCCAAAACAAGTGACAGTACTGTACTTTCTAGTGTGGAAGGTTAGAAACAGTGGAAGTCCATAGGAGTACGTAAATCTTTAATATGTCAGGGGCAAATAATCAAAAAGACTAATCGAATACAGAAATATAGGGGATTAGAAAAACTAGAAGGAGAAGTCATTCACAGCTATACAGTCTCCTAGGCAGACCACATCTAAAGTACTATGAGCAGTTCAGGGCACCATATGTTGGGAAGAGCATACTGGCCTTTGAGGATGGTTAGCACAGATTTACTGGAACCCAAAGGTTACATTATGAGGAAAGATTCACAAATTAGAATTCTATTTCTACAGTGATTTATCAACATACTAAAGATTTTGCAGCAAACTGTTAAGGTAGATGTGGAGACCTTTGCAGTTGATTGCACCGGTCCATTTTACAGATTTCAGAAAGTGTCTCATAAATCTTGATTATTATTGGCCATTTTTCCAATATCAGAAATTGAAAACTGGTTTCACACTATAATTTATCTAATTATAGAAGGGAAAGGAAAAGGTTCTGAAACACACAAAAATAAACTGCTGAAGAAACTCAGCAGGTCTGACAGCATCTGTGAAAAGAAAGCAGAGTTAATGTTTTGAGTCCAGTGACTCTTCTTCAGATCTAGAGGCAGCTGGGAAAAGGTGGTATTTATGCTGATGTGGTAGATGGAGGTTGGGGGGTGGTGGGATTGGTGAAGGATAGGTAGAGAAGCCCAGAGCGACAGAGAAAAAAATATTAGGCAGACAAAGGGGTTCTTGATAGAAAGCCAGGGAAGAGAAGCAAGAAAGGTCATAATGGGGGCCATGATTGGTGATAGTAGGTTGGTTGTGCTGAAAGCAACCCATGTCACAATAGGTCCTAGTGTGTGGGGATATCATAATTTTAAAAAGCTGGTGAATATTTTGATGCTATTGTATAAGGCTATGCTCCCTTTTCCCTCCTGTCTAAGGATGTTAAAGGACTTTTTAAACTATGAAAGCTAGCCACTTCTTTAGTTATGACCATTTGAATAGGTGCTCGAAGAATGAAAAGGAAAGATGATATAACTTACTACGTAATGTGCTATTTGTTCTATTTTCTAATCTCTGTTGTGTTATAGATAATAAAATATTGATCTGAATTAAATTGGAATTATTAAAGCTAACCTACTACAGTGTGAAAACTGGACTCCTATTGTGGCACTCCTCTACCCAGTAATTGTTCAATTGGATGATTGTTCTTGACAAATTTGGGTTAAGGACCCGCTTTTGGCCCAACAAATTCTGCCCCTTATTTCCAGACAGAAGCAGATTACAACACTTGATTTTCCTTCTGGGTCAGGAATTGAACATTGAGATTCTTTCCAGTCTCTGATCCTGCCACTGGCGAAAAGCACTGACAGGCCTCAATTTTCATGTAGCAACCTGCAAATTATCTGGTGGGGAGACTGGTTGGCCAATTAGCAGCCTTGAGGCCACAAATAGAGTCAGAACTGAAAATGTACAGTCCTGACTTAAATAAAATGCATTGGCTCTCATTTACTTATTTTGTTCATGAACCAGGAAAAACTGAGACCTGTTGCAGGACTGCCCCTCACTTTGCAAATGAAGACCTGGAGGTCTGCCTTGAGGCAGTGATGGGGAGGAAGGAGGTTCTTTATCTGGAGGAGAAGTTCGCCCTAGCAAACATATAGGCGTACAGAGATGGTTGAGATCATAGTGTGATTACGAGGAACTGGGTGCAGTGCATTATAAGGTTCAATAATCTCCTTTGCTCTTGCAAAGTGAGTGAAGTTAGAACTTCATGACAGGTCTCCAGGCATTCTATTTTCAGAAGATATGGGAACATAGGAGCAGGAATACGCCATCCAGCCCATTGAGTGTTTCACCATTCAAATTGATCATCCAATGCCTTTTCCCACATTAACTCTTTACGTTATTGATAGACTTCTAAATACCAATCTCTTAGACATTAAATCAGAGGTGCCCGAAGACATATGTTGCTCCTGAATATGGCAGAAATGTGTGCCCAGGGTACTTACTGACCTTTCAGCAAGCGTCAGAACCATTGTGTTATGTTGATATTTCCTTCAGAACCAGGGATTATACACAAGGTAGCCAAATGGTTAATATGAAAGGAACACTTTATTGACGATTCTCACATCTTCACATCCGGTTCTACAGTGGACAGCTCTCTTAAAGGGGCAGCACCCCCAACTATATGCATAACACCTAGTGTTGAAGAAGACCTGCCAGAACTGATACATAAAGCTTCTTACATCAATGAGCTTTTGGAATTGGCCACAGAGCCCTGTACTGCATTTCTTCTCTCTTTTGCCACAGCTTGAGAAACAGGCATATAACACCTGTGAAAGCAAGGAATGGTTACCATTCCTACACATTAGCTCTGACATGAAATCACTTTCTACACGAATGGTCATTGCATTGGGCAGACAGGCACTCAGAGCCAGTGAAAGTTCAACCCAACCCAGCCTGCTGGAGAGATATGGGCTCCTGACATCACCTGAGACTGAAGAGAGCCACACATGATAAAAATTTCCATTTTTGTTTTTGGTGTTATTTTGGGCATGGAAGGTGAGCATCCCTGGTGGTGAAGAAACTGTAAGTTGGAGATTAAGAAGGTACCTTCACTCATGTCCATCCAACTGCATTCCAAAGACTCTGCTGCACTGGAATATCTCAGCATTGCTCAGTGATTCTGCTATGAAGTGCTTCCAATGCAAGAGTATCACTCTTTAGACCGTAAATGTGTTCAACACTTTAGGTGTAGTCTCACCAATGCCCTGTACATACCTCAGAACAAACAACACATCTTACATGTGCACCTATCACTAGCTTATCTTGCAAACATATAGATAGAGTAGCACTGGCTAAGAACAAGGTGATAGCAACAGTTCTGGGTAGGCTCCTTCAGATCTCAAAGGACAGAAACAGCCTTGCTCAACTGAGTTTTAGGGCTCACATGAAAAGAGGATTTACTTAGACCTGCAGTAACTGATGTGTACCCACATGACATAGTACCCTGAGGCAGTGCAGGGTCATGGGCTGAGGATTCCATTCAACTCATTTGTGCTAACATTGCTCAGGGCTTTGAAAAAAGTTGTTCTCTCAGTGAGAGAATTGCCAAACAGGACACAGACAGCCATATGCAGCAGCACTCAGAATACATGCAGGAACTGGTCACTGATGTTCAGAGAATGCAGGACATATTATGTAGCCTTGACCAGTGGGTGGCACTAACAGCAAGAGATATTTAGAGCAGAATCCAGTTGTGCTCCAGCTTTGACCCCTTTGGCCATCCACAGCACCAACCAAAGACAGAGACAGCCACATGAAAAATGAATGAGATGCCATTCTAATAAGGCATCATCATCATTGTTACCCTGCTGGGCTTGTCTGAGGGACTGTGAAGTAGGGTGTGATAATGGAGCTCTTAGAGATGTTTACTTGGCACCTTGATGATAAGAATGACTGCCGTCTGCTTCTCATCTGCAAGCAGAAACAAGCAAGTGGGTGGCTTCTGTCTCATCGAAGGCCACAAGGGAAGCATTACATAGAAGCATCACATCGGGAAGAACAGAGTAGGTCACTGGTAACTGTTGCACCTCCAACCATTCACAATGTACTCACCACTCACTGACAACTCCAACTATATTAGCTTTCATTTTATAAAGTAGCAGCTTCATTGTTTTCAGGATACCTTGGAGACTTAAAGTCTAAGGGAGTAAATCCTGACAAAATATTTGGAATGGAGCCCAAAAATGGACTGATGTCTAAATACATTACTTTTCCATCCAACTCTTGAATCAATTACATTTCTTTGTATCCAACCAAGGAGACTGAGAAGGGTGAGAGATAGTAGGAACTGCAGATGCTGGAAAATCTGAGATAACAAGGTGTAGAGCTGGATGAACTCAGCAGGCCAAGCAGCATCATAGGGTCTAGGCCCGAAACGTCAGCCTCCCTAGACTGAGAAGGGTGACCTGGTGTTTGGATATGGCAGTGAGTCCATAAATTTTGATCAGGCATGCACCCTGGAGAGGATATTCCAATTTTGCTGCAAATTATTAACACAACATAGAAGACACCAATTACAATGTTTAATATGGAGTTGACCAACAAGGAAAAGAAACATTGTCTCATGAGATGGAAAGCTGCCAAAGGATGAAAGAAACAAGAAAAGTAAGGATGAGATTATGAAGGAAAACAAGGATCATTGCACTGGGTCAGTGAAACCTTAGGACATTTGTACATCCTTCATTGGCAGTAAGAGTGCAGGTTGCATCTTCAATGGAAATGCATTCAATGCTCAATGTGAATTGAAGACCATGTTCCCAATTATGCCTGGAAGCTTTATCCCTCGGATACCAGAAGGGTGATGACCACTTGCATTACATGAGAAAATACAGAACGTTATGCTCATAACTTGTACATATCCAGTAACACCCACATGCTAATAGCTAAGGAAATAAATGAACTGTGCTCCCTTTTTATGCACCCCCCAAAATCTTGCGGTGGCCATGAATGCCTCGCTATTGTTTGCCACTTTCATGCACCTAGTCTGTCTGTGACCAAACATGTAGTCAAGCACTTCACCAAAGTCTCAATGACCTCTGATTGAATTCTTTAGCTATCTTAATTAGGAATTAGGCACTTTCTTAGTGCTGATTCCACCCTTCCCTTATGAAACTTGCCAGTGCTGGGAAGGGAAACGGGAAAGTGGTACACTCAGCTGCACTACCACTGTCATCATGTAGCCCCTCTTCCACACCTAGTGTCTCAGCAGATAAATAATTTGACTAAAGGTTTGTCTTTCAAAGATTTGACTGTTTAATAAATAGTAATTCTTGCTTAGTTCAGAAACATAGTCTGTGCTTTCTATTAACTTGGGTCTAAAAAGGCAGGTAAAATGAGGACTTTGGGAAAAGCAAAACTTGATTTCCAGCAGACTACCCCAATGAGGTATGTCAAGTTAATTGAAACAAAACATCAATCTGGTATCAAGGTAAAATCTAGTGAAATTGTAGGTAAGAATAGTAAATTGGTAGCATTCTCTCGGAGACGTGTTTCTCTTTGCCTATTGTTACGATTGCAGATGATGTTATTACTAGATAAGTCAGATCCCAGACTGCAACATAGCACGATAGTTCACATTTTGATTTGTTTCGGTTTTAACAAATGGTTTCTCGCTGAAATGTAAGTATGCAATGCTGCGGATTTGGCTTTAACAATTAAACAGAAGTCCATTAAAAGAAACAAAATAAAATAGAATAAACCAAACTATCTACTTATAGCACAAACTCAAAGATTTTCAATTCGCCCCTCATGCAGTACTCACACCTGTTTCTAACACCTTGGTAGATTTAAGTCATTTGTGAATTTAGCAAACATGAACTCAAATTGGACCCTTCCTGGTGCTATTATTCACCTGAGCTTAAACATACACAGCTTTAAGTAATCTCTTCAGGGTTTTGTCTCGGCGTATCTAGTCTAAACTAACACTAACTCATCATTTTAAGGTAATCTAGTTTCACTACATCATTCCCTTCTCAGGAATATTGGTCTATACAGCTATCTTAGTCCAAGGGCTTCACAGGACTGCTCAAACCTCAAAGACAAAAAAAAACTCTAAGCTAGGAGTGTTTCTCTTAAATGTTAAAAACAAAAACCTTCTCCTGACCTTCTAAACTAGAGCTTGTTATCTTGTCTACCATAAAAAAACTCTACCAATATCCACAAAGAACCCATTAGTGAACATTACCTTAGAGAACAACAGGACTCTGATTAGATGGGCCTATGGGCCGAGGACTGGCAGATAGAGTTTAAATTTAGATAAACATGTGGTGCTGCATTTTGGTAGAGCAAATCAGGGCAGGACTTATACGCTTAATGGTAAGGTCCTGGGGAGTGTTGCTGAACAAACAGATCTTGGAGTGCAGGTTCCTTGAAAATGGAGTTGCAGGTAGACATGTTAGTGAAGAAGGTGTTTGGTATGCTTGTCTTTATTGGTCAGTGCATTCAGTATAGGAGTTGGGGATTATGTCAAAGTTTTACAGGCCATTGGTTAGGCCACTTTTGGAATAATGCATTCAATTCTGGTCTCCCTGATATAGAAAGGATGTTGAATGGGTTCAGGAACGATTTACAAAGATGTTGCCAGGGTTGGAGGGTTTGAGCTATAGGGAGAAACCAAATAGGTTGGGACTATTTTCCCTGGAGCATTGGAGGCTGAGGGGTGACCTATAAAGGTTTATAAAATCATGAGGTGCATAGATAGAGAAAATAGACAAGGTCTTTTCCCCAGGGCAGGAGTCCAAAACTAGAGGGCATAGGTTTAAGGTGAGTGGGCAATGTTTTCATGCCGAGTGTGGTGCATGTATGGAATGAACTGCCAGAGGAGGTGCTGGAGGGTGGTAAAATTGCAACATTTAAAAGGCGTGTGGATGGATAAATGAATAAGAAGGGATTGGAAGGATTTGGGCCAAATGTTCGCAAATGGGACCAGATTAATTTAGAGTATCTGATCTGCATTGACCCTTGTTGGATCAAAGGGTCTGTTTCTGTGCTGTGCATCTCTATGACTCTAATTCTAAAGCTACGTGTCAAAAACTGTTTTAAAAGAAATCTTTGGCTACAGAAATGCTCACAAGTTAATTATAAACTTCATCACACAAAAACACATATCACTCTAACCCAGAATCCAAGAACCCAAGTTTGCAATAAATGATGTTCAGACTATGTATAAATCTCAGTTTACATCACGCAATTACCTTTTTAGGAAAGTCACATTTGATAGCCTGCCTACTAGGAAATTATAAACAGGCAGAATGTGACACACAAAAATCTTCAGTCCCTGGTTTTTAGGTAAGTTCCCTTGAAAGCTTAAGAATGAAGCCATCAAATGATACATGTGGCTTGATATTTGGATGCTTATGTAATTCAGCAGAATAGGACAATGGATAGGAATTTTAGAGATGGTGGTGTTTTTAGTCCTGCCACCTAAAAAAAAATCAGGGGTATACACCCACTGCCCACAGCCATTTAAGGTTTGAAGAAACATTATGGATCTTCAAGACAGTCAGATTGGTCTGCAGCCGTACTGTCCCAACATCACCAGTGGCAACTGTGGTCAGGTGTGGTACTACAACTGTTCACAAATTCTAAGTCCATGGATCTTAAGTGGTAAGTGCAGGGGGCCTTACACTGGTGACGAGAGGTGGGGAGACCAAGGAGGAGATCCTAATGGAGAGATCAGAGTGGAGAAGAGAGCTTCTACAGAGGCAGATGTTGGGGTTAGTAATTGCACAAAATGCAAAGGAACCCATTGTAGGAATGTTCCTACCATCTCCATTTTAAGCACTGAACAGGGTGAGCTGCTGAGATTCCTCCCCTTCCTGAGCCCTCCAGCCAATTTTCAGCTACCTAAGAAATTCAATTTTAGTGAGGGAAGCCGAGCTGCCCTAGTCCTGCACAACAACGTAAAGTTATAGGTAGGTTGGGGATAGGAAGACCAACCAGGGAATGTTGTGGACCCTGGTGGGGTTGTAAAATTCTGCCCAAGATTTTAAAACAATTTCAAGTTACTGGCAAGGGACCATAAAGGTGGACTGAAAGAATAAAACATTTTCAGTTAGAAAAAAATAAGATGTGAGCAGAAATGAGCAGAACAGAAAATAAGCAAATATACTCTAGACAGAGAGAGAAATGAGCCTAGGGCAACGTGTCAAACTAGGAATGGATGATAGAAATAAGGAGGCAGTCTAGGCTGCTCTGAGTTATGAGAACTCTTTGATGATAAGAACAATTTCTGATGAATGTGCCATAGGAACTAAATAACTTATGCTGGGACATTCATTTAACATGTGATTTTAAGTTGACAAAATTAGAGTTGAGTAAATGTATGTGCATATATTAGGAATGAACACTTGTGGCTTTTCACAATACTGTTTTAGATTGCTCAAGGTTGGATTGTCATGCATATGGATGAATAAACAATCATAATCTGTAGCTGAATCTCCTTGTGGTTTGTCAAATTGCACCAAAACACTGATTGTACTGTATATTTTGTACCTCTTTAATCCACATCATGTACTCACTCAGTGTTGTTTTTTTTTTGATCTGCACAGTAACCATAACGGTACTTGTACACTTGTCGAGGGATGAAATCTGATGTGATGGAAATTACCAACCCATTTCCAATAATAGCAAGAACACCAATTGTTTCCAGAATGTCCAGCCATATTCCTGGAACAGAGACACAGAGATATCTGTCATCCATAATTTTCCAATTGCCACAACATGAAAATTCAAAATGTTTGAGTAATTTTTTTCCAGGTGTCTACCTTAATTTTTCCTATCTCCTTCATTTAACTTATTGTTCAATTGGTATCACATGCCCGTAGGAACTTGCTCTAGTGATCATGCATGTTGGCGCTGGAACCCCAAAGGAATAATTTTGTAAAACATGCTCCTGGCATACACTCATACTCATTGAGAGGGCATTTTGATATTTTGAGAACTCCAGCTCCATGCTTTTCCATCTAAATCCACACATACATTAATACCAGATATGCACTCATGACTGGCGACGATCTATGCTGGAAGCATAGTTCCAAAAAGATCATTTAAAGTGTTGACAAGTTACCTGACCATGAAGTTAAAGAAATTCTACTTGTCTTGACTTCTTCGAAAATTAAAACAGAAAACTTTTGAATACTTAGCCGATTTCTAGTATCTGTATTTTTCTGCTTTACACTTCTACTGGCCCTTCACTTAGCTGTCATCATTACCATACATTTAACTGTGTATATTTTTTCTCCTTTTTCTGTATATTCAGCAGTGCTCTTACACACAACTGAATATTTTTTCCCATCATCAAATCATTCGTTTTTTTTAATCTATTAACCACTGATCATTTAAAAAAACAGCCAATCAATTTCAGGTGGGAATACTTCTGCTAAGTGAAGCTGTTTAAATAATGGGAGTTGAATAGCATGTATGTGAATAACTGGTTTTAACTACCTAGCCATTAGGTTTCTGGCAGGCTGTGAGAGTTAAACTTAGCCCTTTGCATAAGTAGCTTAGATCTAGACCAGGAAATTTGAAATTCTGCACTTTGATTAGAAACTTAGCTGGGCCAAGTAAAATTGGGTGCTTGAACATCAGACTTGCCTTTGAAAGACAGAACCTATGCTTAAACAATAAGAGCAGCAGGACGCTCACACTTGTAACATGAATCATAGAAAATGGCTGCCACTGTATAAAGCTAGGTAAGCTTTACTTTATTAGAGAATACAGTGCACTTTTCTAATTGGTGGCTGGGTAGAAAGCATTGTTTGAGGGCAGAGAGGAGAATCAGGCAATGAATACATTAGGCAGAATTTAGTGGGAATGACAGAGGTCCAGAGGCAGTGGGTGACAAAACTGGTGGCATACACCATCCCTTACCTCAGAGTTCCAAGAAAATAAATTGCCTAATAAGCATTAGGAAGCCTGCCACTAAGGCTTCCACCTCACGAGTGACACTTAATTGCAGGGATTCCCCAAGAAGGGTAAAAATTATGCCTCTGAGGAGTCCCAGTAATGGTCAGAGCTGTGGTTGCTGCTGATCTTTCCCTTGGGCCTTCATCAGGGTTAATTATTGGCAATCCTGGAGAACAGTAAGTGATGGCAGAATGGGGGTTCCAATAAGGTGTCACAGGAGAGGCAGGATGAGGATGGTTGGGATGGGGGAAGTCAGAGAATTATAGACCAGTGAGTCTCATATTAGTGGTACGGAAATTAATGGGGAAATTTCTGAAGAATAGAATAAATCTCTACTTGGAGATGGAAAGTTAGGTCAGGGATAATCAGCATAACTTTGTCAGAGGGAGGCCATGCCTAACAACTTTGATTCAATTCTTTGAGGAAATGATCAGGTGTGTCAACGAGGATAGTGTTGTTGATGCAGTTTATATGGATTTTAGCAAAGCCTTTGACAAGATCCCACACTGGAAACTAATAAAGAAGGTAAAAGCAGATGGGATCAAGATGGGATCGAGGTGCTGCCTCGTGCTCTCACGAAGAGCTCGAACAGTTCATCCACTTCACCAACACCTTCCACCCCAACCTTAAGTTCACCTGGACCATCTCTGATACCTCTCTCTCCTTCCCGGACCTCTCTGTTTCCATCTCTGGCAACCACCTGGAAACGAATATCCATTTCAAGCCCACCAACTCCCACAGCTATCTAGAACACGCCTCCTCCCACCCACCTTCCTGCAAAAATGCCATCCCCTATTCCCAATTCCTTCGCCTCTGCCGCATGTCCTCCCAGGATGAGGCATTTCACTCCTGTACATCTCAGATGTGCTTGTTTTTCAAGGACCGCAACTGCCCCCCGCTCAGTGGTCGAGAACGCCCTCAACCGTGTCTCCCGCATCTCATCCCTCACACCCCCTCCCCGCAATAACAACCAAAACAGAATCCCCCTCGTCCTCATGTACCACCCCACCAACCTCCGGATCCAACGCATCATCCTCCGACAATTCCGCCATCTGCAATCCGACCCCACCACCAAAGATTTTTTCCCTCCCCACCCTTATCAGCTTTCCGGAGGGACCACTCTCTTCGGGACTCCGTTGTCCGCTCCACACTCCCCTCCAGCCCCACCACACCCGGCACTTTTCCCTGCAACCGCAGGAAGTGCTACACCTGCCCCTACATCTCCCCCCTCACCCCCATCCCAGGCCCCAAGAAGACTTTCCACATCAAGCAGATGTTCACCTGCACATCTGCTAATGTGGTATACTGTATCCGCTGTTCCCGTTGTGGCCTCCTCTACATTGGGGAAACCAAGCGGAGGTTTGGGGACCACTTTGCAGAACACCTACGCTCGGTTCGCACTAAACAACTGCACCTCCCAGTCGCGAACCATTTCAACTCCCCCTCCCATTCCTCAGACGACATGTCCATCCTGGGTCTCCTGCAATGCCGCAACAATGCCACCCGAAGGTTGCAGGAACAGCACCTTATATTCCGCTTGGGAACCCTGCAGCCACCAGCCCAGATTGTCCCCGCCTCCCTAACCTGTCCTTCCTCCCACCTATCCCCTCCTCCCACCTCAAGCCGCACCCCCATCTCCTACCTACTAACCTCATCCCACCCCCTTGACCTGTCCGTCCTCCCTGAACTGATCTATCTCCTCCCTACCTCCCCACCTACAACCACCTTTACTGGCTCCATCCCTGCCTTTTTGACCTGTCTGTCTCCTCTCCACCTATCTTCTCCTCTATCCACCTTCTATCCGCCTCCCCCTCTCTCCCTATTTATTTCAGAACCCCCTTCCCCTCCCCCATTTCTGAAGAAGGGTCTAGGCCTGAAACGTCAACCTTCCTGCTCCTCTGATGCTGCTTGGCCTGCTGTGTTCATCCAGCTCTACACCTTGTTATCTCAGGGATAATCAGCATAACTTTGTCAGAGGGAGGCCATACCTAACAACTTTGATTCAATTCTTTGAGGAAATGATCAGGTGTGTCAATGAGGATAGTGTTGTTGATGCAGTTTATATGGATTTTAGCAAAGCGTTTGACAAGATCCCATACAGGAAACTAATAAAGAAGGTAAAAGCAGATGGGATCAAGGTACCTTGCAAGTTGGATATAAATCAATTTAGTGGTAGGAGATAGACGGTGGCGGTAGAAGGCTGTTTGTGTGACTGGAGGCCATGGTCAAGTGGCATATGACAGAGATCAGTGCTTCTGCTTGTTATATCAAAGAAAATGTGGGCAGGATGATAAGTAATTTTTCAGATGACACAAAGATTGGCTGGAAAATTGACAGTGCGGCAGAACGTCTTGGGTGACAAGATGATATAGATGGATCATTCAGTGGCATTTAACCCTAATTAGTGTGAGGTGATGTACTTTGGAAGCAGCTGTTCTACTTAGTTGAAGGATCAATTGCAAGGGGGCATAATTTTAAGGTGAAAGGCAGAAGAAAAAGTATAAGTATTGAGAAAAAGTATTTTTTCACTCACACGGTGGTGGGAATCTGGAATGCACTGCCTAGGAAGGTAGGTGAGGCAAAAAAACCTCACACCCTTTTAAAAAAATACTTGGGTGAGCACTTGAAGTGTCATAGCATTCATGGTTATGGCCAAGTGCTGGAAAGAGGAACTAGTATAGATCTAGTATGACTTTTTGTTGGTGCAGTCTCAATGAGCAGAAGGGCCTCTTCAGTGCTGCATTATTCTATGAGTCTATGAAAGATATGGGGTTGGCTCTCAGTGAGATCTCATCTTCCAAATGCTGTATTGTTTGATCAGGCACTGAGTGCCTGCCAAGAACAGACTCTCCTTCCTGGGCCATAATTTGCCATTGAACTCAAAATTTGCTATTTGACTTGTTGATCTCACCGTCTGCCACAATTTGGTACTTTTTTCATAGAATGTGAACATCACTGACTAGGCTAGCATTTATCGCCCATTCCTAATTCTGTTTGAGAAGGTGGTGAGGAGCTGCCTCCTTGAACTGTTGCTACCTGAGTGATGTAGGAACACCAATGGTGCTTTTAGTGAGTGAACTCCAGAATTTTGACCCAGCGTCAGTGAAGGAATGGTGACACAGTTCTAAGTCAGGATGATATGTGACTTGGAGAAAAACTTGCAGGTGTCATGTCCACATGTATCTGCTGCTCTTATCCTTCTAGCTGGTAAAGCTTGTGGGTTTGGAAAGTGCTGTTGACGAAACCATGGTGAGTTACTGTAGTGCATCTTGAAGATGATACACACTGTGCATCATTGAAGGGAGTGAATGCTTAAAATCTTGATTGGGGTGTTGATCAACCAGTCTACCATGTCCTAAGCTTCTCGAGTATTGTTACAGCTGCACTCATACAGGCAAGTGGAGAATATTCCATCATGCTCCTGACTTCTACTTTTGTAGATGATAGACAGGTATTGAGGAGTCAGGAGCAACATTTTGTCTAAGCCGTGCAGCCATGTGGCGCCGAAGCTCATGCAGAGGCAGGGAAAATTAGGGGAAATGTTGGTCGAGAGGTGAGTTACTTGCTGTAGAATTACCAATCTCTTACCTGTTCTTATAGCCACTGTATTTATATGGCTGGTCCATTATGGTCAGTGGTAACCCCAGGATGATTAACTTTTTTTTAAATTCATGCATGGGATGTGGGCATCACTGGGTCAGCCAGCTCTTATTGCCCACCCATAATTTCCCAGAGGGCAGTTAATAGTCAAACACATTGCAGTGGATCTGGAGTCACATGTAGGCCAGACCAGGTAAGGATGGCAGATTTCCTTCCCTGAAAGACATTAGTGAACCTGATGGGTTTTTCTTGACAATTGACAATGGTTTCATGATCGTTGTTAGACTCTTTATTCCAGATTCTTTATTGAATTCAAATTCCATCATCCCACCATGGCAGGATTTGAATCCTGGTCTCCAGAACATTACCTGGTTCTCTAGATTATTAGTTGAGCAATAATACCACGAGACCATCGACTTCCCCAGCAATATTGAGTAATGTTAATTCATTGAATGTCAAAAGGTGATGGTTAGATTCTTCCTTGTTGGAGATTGTCATTGTCTAGCACTTGTGTGAAGTGAATGTTTCAGTATCTGAGAAGACATGAGTTGTGCTGAACATGGTATAATCATCAGCAAACAACCCCACTTCTGACCTTATTATGGAAGGAAAATAGTGGGCTAGAACATTACCCCCAGGAGCTCCTGTAGTGATGTTCTGGGACTGATATGATGGACCTCCGACAAACACAATCATCTTCCTTGATGCTAGTATGATGCCAACAGGTGGAGAATATTTCTCCTGATTCCTATTGATGTCACTTTAATGCCATACTCAGTCAAATACTTCCTCGATGTCAAGAATCATCACTCTCATTTTATCTGATGAGTTCAACCCTTTTGTCCGTGTTTGGACCAATTTCCTTCAGTGGACATTACCTGGTATTCAAGTCTTCTTGGCCCTACCATAATCAGAGTGGAATGATTCAGGGAAGGTAACGGGATTTCCATCCTACACCATCCTGCATGATCAACTGCAACCCACCCCAACTCATCACTGGGAATGGGGATGAGGGATGGGGTGACATTCAATTGCACCCATCGTATCCAACATTTTTCTAAACTTAAATGGCCAGAAAATTATACTTGCTGCAATATGAACGCATAATCCCCCCAAACCACTTTCCTTCTATGTGGTTCAACCAATGCAATACTTATTTCCCAATGACAAAGAAATAAATTTGTATCAAAAATTACAGTGCAAGCAAGCACCACCTGGGCCACGGCATGGGTGGCACCAAGTATCGAGCAAATTGTGCATTAATAATTTTTAAGGCAGCACATTAAAACTTTCTGAGATCTCACCTAATATAGATCAAACTCTGATTTGTCAAAATTACACATAAAGTACACACTGAGTACCACATAACTAAATAAATGGCATTGGTTAAATCTTACCGATATCTTTTGCTTTTCGCGGTATCGGTCGCCTGAGAAGCCAAACCATCTTTTTGGCATCCAAACGAATTTCAAATATGTTATTTAAAAATGCAAGTAATGGAGCCAAGGGGAATGCTGCAACAAATATTGTGGTAAAACCATACTGAATTGCTGAAAAAGAAAAGAGATTGATTATAAAAGTTATCACAGCTATGTATAAATGACAATGCCGATGATCACTGTTGGAAGCTTTCTGTTTTTATTAATTCACAGGTTGTAGGCATCATTGGCTAGCCCAGAACTTAATACCAATCCCTAATTGCTCAGAGGGTTGTTAAGGGTCGACCACATTGCTATGAGTCTGAAGTCACATGGAGGCCAAACCTAGTGAGGGTGGCAGTTTACTTCCCTAAAACGAGATTGTTATTTTCCCCTCAAGCAATAGTCATCATTAAACTGTTAATTCCAGATTTTTATTCATTTCAAATTCATTCAAACCCAGGTACCCAAAACATAAAACTGAAAGAACCGTGGATGTTGGCAATCAGAAACAAAAACAGAAATTGCTGGAAAAACTCAGCAGATCAGTCAGCATCTGTGGATAGAAGGCAGAATTAACGTTTCTGGTCCAATGACCCTTCAAAGTCTAGTCCACTGCTATCTTTGAGGTTGCTGCTAACAAACGAACCTAAAGATCCTTGTGTTGAACTTAATTGCTATTCAGAAAAGAAGCACCCATCTATATGCCACATCTGGAAGGGCTAAGTGAAAGGCATAATTCAGAACCAGTGGAAGGGGTGAGTAAGTGAGGGAAGCAGTGAGTATCACCACCATCATTTCGTGTACAGTTAATTAATGTTAGAAGTTAATTTTTCTTCAGGACAGTCTATTCTTTAGTGCAAAACTGTATCTTTCCTTAACCATTTTAGAACATCTATAACATTTTTAGTAATTCATGCATGGGATGCCACAAGCAAGCCAGCATTTACTGTCCATGAGAAGGTGATGGTGACTATCTTCCTGAATTATTGAGTAGCCTGCTAGGCCAGTTCAGAGGACAGTTAAGAGACAACCATTTTGCTGCAGATGTAGAGTGAAATATAGGCCAGACGAAATAAGGATGATAGATTTCCTTCTCTAATAAAAGCAAAATATTGCAGATGCTGGAATTTTGAATCAAACACAGAGAATGCTGGAGAAACTCAGCAGGGCTGGCGTCTGTGGACAAAGAAGCAGAGTTAACATTTCGAGTCTGGTAGAATCATCTTCAGTACCAGGATTCAGATTTTCTTCTCTAAAGCGCTCTAGAGATATCGATTCTTTTTAACAATCCATGATTGCCATTTTCATGATCAGCATTACCTACAATATTTCTTTTTAAGTCCAAGATTTATTGAACTAATTTTAAATTCATGAGCTATTCTGGTAATACAAACAAAAGAACTGTGGATAAAAACCGAAAGAACTGCGGATGCTGTAAATCAGGAACAAAAACAAAGTTGCTGGAAAAGCTCAGCAGGTCTGGCAGCATCTGTGAAGGAAAAAACAGCGTTAATGTTTTGGGTCCGGTGACCATTCCTCAGAACAGGGTCACCGGACCCAAAACGTTAACTCTGATTTTTCCTTCTCGGATGCTGAAAGAATTGTGGATGCTGGAAATCAGAAACAAAAACAAAAATTGCGGACGATCTCAGCCAGTCTGGCAGCATCTGTGCAGAGAAGTCAGAGTTAATGTTTCAGGTCTAGTTACCCTTCTTCAGAACTGGAGAACTTCTCCCCCCAAAAGAAAATAAACAAACATAGACTGTTTGAAACTCTTGTGTTGGGTATTTCTATCTGTTTCCAAACATCATCCATTAAAGCAACTTAATCCCAGAAAAGTATCACTCATATCTCAGTTTTATAAGTCTTTACTTCATTGACTTTCCCCAGTTTTGTTTTTTTGAACTGTGGAAACAATTTTATGATTTTTTTTTCTAACTCTGCAGGCATGAATCTTTCACAAGTCTGAAGGCTTAATCTTTGTTAATTCTAAAAACTTGCAGATTTCTATCCAAAAATCTCCTAACATGGAAGCTGTACAGACCAGAAGTCACTTCTGATGAGATGTCTGGTTCACATGAACTGATTTGATTTCCCTGAGAGGAGAAATAGTTTCATCTTCGGAACTAAACTCTGGGTTCTTCTGAATTAAAAATTTGAACCTTGTGTTCTGAAGCCAAAATTCAATGGAACTTGCTATTTCCCTTTACAAGTCAATTTTGATAATGAATCATGCATGTTCAATTGATTTAATGCAGTAGTTGGGTCTTGGAATCTGATAGGAATTCATCTTTGTTACCACACTGACTTTGACTTTGTGTTAATGAATGCATAATCTTTGTGGCCAAACACATAGATGATTTCCAGTCACTACGGTCAGAATGTTAAGTCTTATTGGCTAAGTGTCAATTGCATCAAGTTTTTAGGAAGATTTGTTGCTGTAAATTCTAGTGTATTTTCTCACCGTATCTTACAAATGCACTTCATTAACTATCGATCCCATACTAATTAACCCACCCCTTGTGACACCCACACCAGATTCTGGCCCTAGATAACCATGGTATTCCTGGAACAACTCATCACTGCCAGGATATTCCAGAGTTGACTGACATTCCTGGTGCTGCTGTGTGCCATCTTTACCAGGCTATTGAGCACCCAGACAAATAAAAACTGTTAGTACTGAGCTGCCCTGCATATTTCCTGACATTTGCTCTGGACATGGCAGACAAGGGAAATTTAATGCTTTAATTTGAAGGCAGGAACTTGGAGATCCTACAGGATGGGGTGATGCACAGGTGGGACTTTATCTCCCCTCAACAACAACAGGGGAGGCCACAACAGCAGACTATGCTAACCACATCCAAGGTTGCCACCCAGGTCAGTGCACTCTCAGGCATCTGGAGGAACACACAGCACTGTAGCAAGAAGAACATAGAACACAGAATAGTATAACACAGTACAGGCCCTTCGGCCCATGATGTTGTGCCGATCTATTATCCTGCTAAGATCAATCCACCCTGCATACGCTACATTTTACTATCCTCCATGTGCCTATCCAAGAGTCGCTTAAAAGTCTCTAAAGTATCTGACTCCACTAACACTGCTGGCAGCGCATTCCACATGCCCACCACTCTCTGTGTAAAGAACCTACCTCTGACATCGCCCCTATACCTTCATCCAATCACCTTAAAATTATGCGCCCTCATAATAGTCATTTCTGCCCTGGTCTCTGACTATCCACTCTACCTATGTCTCTCATCATCTTGTATATCTCCATCAAGTCATCTCTCATCCTTCTTCGCTCCAATGAAAAAAGCCCTAGCTCTCTCAACCTTTCCTCATAAGACCTGCCCTCCAGTCCAGGCAGCATCCTGGTAAATCTCCTTTGCACCCTCTCTAAAGCTTCCACATCTTTCCTATAATGAGGTGACCAGAACTGAACACAATATTCCAAGTGTGGTCTAACCAGAGTTTTGTAGAGCTGCAGCATAACCTCACGGCTCTTAAACTCAATTCCCCTGCCAATGAAAGCCAACACGCCATACGCCTTCTTTACAACCGTATCAGCTTGGGTAGCAACTTTGAGGGATCTATGGACGTGGACCCCAAGATTCCCCTGTTCCTCCACACTGCTGAGAATCCTGCCATTAACCCTGTATTATGCATTCAAATTCGACCTTCCAAATTAATCACTTCACACTTTTCTGGGTTGAATTCCATCTGCCACTTCTTTGCCCAGTTCTGCATCCTGTCAATGTCTCATTGCAACCTACAACAGCCCTCCACGCTGTCCACAACTCCACCAACCTTCGTGTCGTTGGCAAACTTAACTAACCCACCCTTCCTCTTCCTCATCCAAGTCACTTTGTAAAGATACAAACAGCAGAGGTCCCAGAACAGATCCCTGCAGAACACCACTCGTCACCAAGGTCCAGACTGAATACTTTCCATCCACTACCACCCTCTGTCTTCTGCTGAACAGCCAGTTTTGTATCCAGACAGCCAAATTTCCCTGAATCCCATGCCTCCTTACTTTCTGAATGAGCCTACCATTTGATAAGGTATTAAATCAAATGCCTTGCTAAAATCCATATACACCACATCCTCTGCTCTACCTTCATCAATGTGTTTTGTCACATCCTCAAAAAATTCAATAAGGCTTGTGAGGCATGACCTGCCCCACACAAAGCCATGCTGACTATTTCAAATCAAACTGTGCTTTTTCAAATAATCATAAATACTATCTTTCAGAATCCTCTCCAATAATTTGCCCACCACAGACTTAAGACTGACCAGTCTGTAATTTCCAGGATTATCCCTATTATTTTTCTTGAACAAGGGAATGACATTTGCCACCGTCCAATCTTCTGGTACTACTCCAGTGGACAGTGAGGATGCAAAGATCATTGCCAAAGAGGCAGCAAACTCTTCCCTCGCTTCCCGTAGTAACCTTGGGTATATCCCGTCTGGCCCAGGGGACTTGTCTATTCTCATGTTTTTCAAAACTTCTAGCACATCCTCCTTCTTAACATCAACCTGTTCGAGCATATCTGCCTGTTTCATGCTATCCTTACAAACGTCAAGGTCCTTCTCACTGGTGAATGCTGAAGCAAAGTATTCATTAAGGACTTCCCCTACCTCCTCTGACTCCACGCACAAGTTCCCTCCACTATCCCTGATTGGCCCTACCCTCACTCTGGCCATCCTCTTGTTCCTTACATAAGCATAGAATGCCTTGGGTTTTTCCTTGATCCTACCCGCCAAGGATTTCTCATAACCCCTTGTAGCTCTCCTAAGTCCATTCTTCAGTTCCTTCCTGGCTACCTCGTAGACTTCTAGAGCCCTGTCCGATCCTTGCTTCCTCAACCTTAAGTAAGCTTCCTTCTTCCTCTTGACTAGGTGTTCTACATGTCTTGTCATCCAAGGTTCCTTCACCTTACTATCCTTTCCTTGCCTCAGTGGGACAAACCTATCCAATACTTGTAGCAACTACTCCCAAAAACAACCTCCACATTTCTGTCGTGCTAAGATCAGCAAGTTTCTCCATTCTGCCAGCAGAAGTATCACCATCTTCTCTTCGTTAGTTAACACTCACCATCTCTCCTCCATGCTGAGCTCACTCTCCCCCAGGAGACAACTCCTGCCACTGCTACTCACATGCTAAGGAGGCCCGCTCTCGCCTTACCATAGATGCAGAAAAGACCTCCAAAGAAGGGGGAAGAAAAGGGAGAAAAAGTACAGAGAAATAAAGAAAGCAGATGAGCTCTGGGCCAGGCATTTGGATACAACCCTGCTCTTCCACTTCCATCTTGGACTTGAATATGTGTTAATACACACAAATAGGCTTTTCATTTCACACTAGCAAGAATCTCATATTGCCATTCAACACTTGGTTGGAAAATGTTTGCATTCAATATTGAGAAACTCCTCATTGGTTATCTATGTGATTTTCTCAACTTTCTCACTGTGGTCCTTGTTATTCAGGGGCTGGGAAGATTCCATTTGTTGTCTTTTTTGATCATTCTTTTTTAAATGTTCATGTTAGGGTTCAGTATTATGCTTATCACCCTGAGACATGGCTGAACCTGCAGCCACAGCTGTTCTTTCTTTTTCAAAGGACATTATTTAAAATCATTCATGGGGAGTGACTGAAATGATGTCAGTGAACTCCAAGCTCTGTAAATTTTCTGCCTGACCATCCTGAGATGGATACATTTTTGGATAGTACTGACATTGCCCTGTAGCTGTTACATTTTTATCTTGACTAATTTGTCCCTACCACATCCTGGACACCAGGCCCATCCCACTTTTCTCCTCCACATTCCTCATCCCACCCTCTGTCATTTACTGCATCCCACTTCCACGCCTCCATTCCCCAACCTAACCCAAATCATCTCACCACTGAATCAGAGATAGTAGGAACTGCAGATGCTGGAGAATCCGAGACAACAAGGTGCAGGGCTGGATGAACACAGCAGGCCAAGCAGCATCATAGGAGCAGAGAGGCTGACGTTTCGGGCCTAGACCCTTCATCAGAAAAGGGGGAGGGGAAGGGGGTTTTGAAATAAATAGGGAGAGAGTGGGAGGCGGATAGAAGAGGGATAGAGGAGAGGATAGGTGGAGAGGAAACAAACAGGTCGAAGAGGCGGGGATGGAGCCATGAAAGGTGAGTGTAGGTAGGGAGTTAGGAAGGGGATAGGTCAGTCCAGGGAGGACGGACAGGTCAAGGGGGCGGGATGAGGTTGGTCGGTAGGAGATGGAGGTGCGGCTTGAGGTGGGAGGAGGGGATAGGTGGGAGGAAGAACAGGTTAGGGAGGCAGGGACGAGCTGGAACACCTACGCTCGGCTCGCAACGAACAACTGCACCTCCCAGTCGCGAACCACCCCAACTCCCCCTCCCACTCCCCAGACGACACGTCCATCCTGGGCCCCCCGCAGCGGTGTTCAAGGATAATGGATATCCAAAGAACTGGGTCAGGAGATGCCTACAGGAACAGCATCAGAAAGATTCTACACGCCCCGACACACTCATCACACTACCCTACAGCAGGAACACGTCAGAACTCACCACAAGACTTCTATGACGGCTGGGCATCAGAGTGGCGCACAAACCCACATCAACCTTAGTGATTCACTCTTGCTAATCTGAGTTTCGATGCAAAGTTTCATTTGCCTGCAGTCCTCCCTTGTACCAAATGGTGTTAACTAAGGAAAACTATAGGCAATATACACAATTGGAGAAAGCTGGTAGATGCATACTACCTTTAAATAATTCTGAACTAAGTGCTATGGGATTGTCATGCTTCATTGACTTTATCTTGAAGGTAGGGCATAATTTACAAAGTCCATTTTCTGCAAATACGCATTCATTGTATATGAAGTAATTACCAGCCACAGCCTGGCATACTGTTCAACACACCACAAACACTCTGATAACTTTATTGCTCTACTTCAAACTACTGATGGAAAATGGAAATTTCTTATCCCACCTAATGATGTCATTCTGCATATCCAGTTTCCAGTTCTTGGGCTATATAAAATTTCCTAACAATTAAAAATAATAATTGAGCACAAGTTCAGGAGATTTGCAAAATATAAAAAGTGCCATTAAAAAGCTTCAAAAAAAGCAAATGGTAGAAATGAATTTTAAGCACTTTAGGAGATAACAGTTGGAGTGAGTTACTGTTACATTACAATATGATAAGCATTTAGGTTGAGCATATTGGTACAGTAAAAGAGGGAATACATTTGAGTGTAATGGACTTACTCATTTCTAAAAACTCATTGAAAAATGAGTAAGAATTGAATTCACTTAAACTGTAATTTTTGATCCAGTGTTCAGATACGTCCTCTACTTTCTTTGTTGAGAGCATCGATTTCTTCCTCCACTTACTTTTCAAGATTCTGTAAAGTACAACATTGACAATTAAGTTAAATAAGTAAAGACTTAACATATAATATCAAAATATGAATTCTAAATACAGTACATGTATATCATACAGCATTATTGCCTAGAAATCAGATTTCATTCAGATATTGGTGTATAATGGATAGAGCACTGCTATTGTTTAAGGGTAAGATTAAAGTAGCCAGGGTGTAATGTTCATGCTATTAGAAATTTTAATCATCCAAATAGAGGAACAGTCATCTAGACTCGAAACTTTAGCTTGCTCTCTCTCCATGGATGCTGTCTGACCTGGTGTGATCTCCAGTATTGTTTTCAGTAAGTCCCACCTCCTCCCCTTTATTTAATTTTTTTATCATTAAGGCGCCACCAAATCATGCGTATGTCTCATTAAATTAACAAGATATAAACACTACCTAACAGGACAGTGTAACAACAACAATAATAGGAGAGAGTGCGAAGAGAGGGAGGGGATTAAATTAAAATAAAGTGCACCATTTTATTTAACCTATTTTTCCTAATCAATCTGTTCAGAGATATCACTACACATCTCTGGAGCAGGTGGGACTTGAAGCTGGGTCTGCTGGTCTAGGGGTAGCGACACTACTACTGTGCCACAAGGGCTCTACTACTCTATTTTTATGTCTACCCAACCAATTAATTAGTCAATTAACCCAATCACCCACTTTACAACTTGTTACATTAACACTTCAACACTTGCCACAATATTCCATGTAGACTAGTAATTTTAGACAACTCTGTAAACAACCGAATATCACAACAATCACAGATTTAACTAATGGAATTAAACAACTAGCCTAAATGTAATTGATGATCCCCTTAGATAAGAGGTCTTTCCTGCTGCTAAAATGATGTTAATATGTGAGCTTAATATAGGGAGGTTGAATGGGGCCTCTTGTGGCACAGGTAATGTGCCAATCTCTGGATCAGGAGGCCCAAGTTCAAGTCCCACCTGCTCCAGATGTGTGTAATACCAGCTCTGAACAGATTGATTTGAAAATATCTACAGCACCTTATGGTGCAGTGGTAATATCCTTACCTCTGTGCTGGGGGGCCTCTGTTCAAATCCTACCTGCTTGAGAGGCGTATAATAACATTTCTGAATAGGTTGATTAAGAAAATATCTAAAGGGCGATAGGTAAAATGTGAAGGTCTACAATGGCAGTACTGGTGTCAAATTAGCATTATGTCCTGCTTGTTATCATGATCTGTTGTATCTGCATATTTTACACGCATATACTGTTGCCAGCACCAGAAGTACGTGTCTATGTCAAAGATACTATTTTGGAAATAAATGGTACCTGTTATGCCAAGAAAACAAGTACTGTGAATATTGTTTTTGGCACCTTAAAATCTTCATGTCAATCTATCTATTCAAAAGGGTTTTCCCCTTTATAAGAGGCTACAATTTTTTTGACTAGATTAATTATATTTTCAGTTAAATTTTTTAGTTGAAATTTGCAGGAGTTATTCAAACCAGGGGAAGCATTTATGGTTTAAATTTGTACAGAATGCTGTTGATTGTATACAGTATAATATGACCTAACAAATCAGTGAACCTTTGGTGACCAAGGGTGCCACAATGTAATCTTGTGTCTAAGTGGTCCCAAAGAGCACCAGATGTTTAATAGCTGTACAATGAAGTGCTTAAAAGTATATTATGCTATGACTTAACTGACTCAATCTGAGCAATGTGCTGTCTTATATGTAATACATTTTGGTTTGTGTGATAAAAAAAAATTACTGCTGGTGAAGTTAAGCTTACGGAACAGCATATTCCACGGTCGTGCTTAGCAATTGTTTCAACACCATAACAATAGACATTTGAATTAAGAGATCCGCCATGCAGCCGCTTGGATGGCACTAAAAAAAGAGAGAACACAGGTGTCAACCATTGCTCTATCATGAGTTTATTTACAGTATCATAAGGGATGATTTTTACCCTGCACATTTTGAAGTAGCTCAGCATTCTGCCTGAAAGGAACCCAAACGTATGGAAGTGAACCAATATCTGTGGTCATGTGATGTAGTAGTACAACACCCAGCTTCTATGTTCTGCATTAAGTGAGTAATATGCAGGTTTTTCCCTTTCATTACTTAAGACAGTTGCAATAGAGAGTGCAGTACATCCTGCAGCAGCTGGTCTCCAGCTGATAGCTGCAAGGCCTGAAAACAGAAGCAGAAGATAATGCACCTTACGAAATATGGCAGTATATTGCCCAACTACATCATATAGCAGCTATAATGCCCACGATTATGCTTATGTCAACTGTTTGACATTTATCATTGCTCATATCAAGCTTTAACATTGTTTTTGCGTGGCTATATAACAATATCTTAAATTATCTCATCTGTGTTAGTCTGCAGATTGGGCATATATCCATCACTGCAAATGTTCTGCAATCCACTAATTCCAAATTTTCAAGATTACCATCTTATTGTTTTAGCATAAAAGTACTACAAGATCAAGTCCAATCCTACAGTAAGACATCACCAAAATAAGGGTGAAATATAGGTGGCAAAGACTTCTTCCCTTTGATATGTCCAAGAAACTTTGGGAAGACGTGTGGACTGAAATAGTGTCAACAAAACAGAAGGACATGCAGTTTACTTCAAGTATTAAAAAAATGGAACCTTCTGATCTCCAACCTGCTCAAAGTAGATTTCGTGACATTTTACCCACATAGCACTTTAGGCAACTTAAAATTACTCATAAGCTTCCCATTTTGTATCATGAGAAAAGAAAGTCAAAGCATGAAGAGATGCAGAAAATACCAATTAAAAATATAAGAAATAAACAAATGCACTTCAACAAAATACTAAAAAGGATTCAGCAAGTAAACATACAAATATGTGGGAAATACTGGGTCATTTAACAGCTTTACATGAAAATTTTTTGTTTTATATTCATTTGTGGGATGGGATGTGGGCATCATTGGCTGGCCAGCATTTATTGCCCTAGTTGCCCTTGAGAAGGTGGTGGTGAGCTGCCCTCTTGAACCACTGCAGTCCACCTGCTGTGGGTTGACCCACAATACCATAAGGGAGGGAATTCCAGGATTTTGACCCAGCGACCATGAAGGAATGGCAATACAATTTCAAGTCAGGGTGGTGAATGGGGTGGAGGGGATCTTACAGGTTGTGATGTTCCCCTGTATCTGCTGCCCTTGTCCTTCTATATGGAAATGGCCGTATGTTTGGAAGGTTTTGTCTATGGATCTTGGTGAATTTCTGCAGTGCATCGTGTAGACAGTACACATGGCTGTCACTGAGCGTCATTGGTGGAGGGAGTGGATGCTTATGGATGTCGCGCCAACCAAGTGGACTGCTTTGTCCTGGATGGTATCAATCTTCTTGAGTGTTTTTGGAGCTGCATCCATCCAGGGAAGTGTGGAGTATTCCCCTCGTCTTTGTCAGACTTCTAATCATTGACTAAAGCTCTGCCTTCAACATTATAATTCCAACAAAACTATTCTCCAAACTCCATGACCCAGGTCTCTGCTCCACCTTCTGCAACTGGATCCTTCACTTCCTGACCCACAGACTGCAATCAGTGAGAATAGGTAACAGCATCTCTTCCACAACAATCCTCAACACCGGTGCTTCGCAAGGCTGCATACTCAGCCTCTTACTGTACTCCTTGTAGATTCATGACTGTGTGGCCAAATTTCATCCTAACTCCATCTACAAGTTCGCTGCTGACACCATCATTGTTGGCCGGATCTCAAACAATGATGAGACAGAGAGCTTGTTGCATGGTGTAAAGATAACTATCTCTCCCTCAATGTCAGCAAATGAAAGGAGCTGGTATTGACTTCAGGAAGCAAAGTGGAGGGCACGCCCCTATCTGCATCAATGGAGCTGAGGTGAAGATGGTCGAGAGCATCAAGTTCCTAGGAGTGACAATCACTGACAATCTCTCCTGGTCCACCCACATTGATGCGACGGTCAAGAAAGCACAACACCTCTACTTTCTCAGGAGGCTAAGGAAATCCAGCATGACCATAAAGACTCTTACCAAGCTTTACAGGTGCACCATAGAAAGCATTCTATCCGGATGCATCACGGCTTGGTATGGCAACTGTTCCGCCGATGCCCACAGCCCAGTCCATCATGCAAGCCAACCTTCCATCCACTGACACCATCTAAACCTCCTGCTGCCTCGCAAAGGCAGCCAACATAATTAACAACCCCTCCCACGCCAATTATAATCTCTTCCAACTTCTTCCTTCGGGCAGAAGATACAAAAACTTAACCACACGTACCAACAGATTCAAGAACTGCTTCTTCCCCACTGTTATTAGACTTCTGAATGGAACTCTCAAATTTCAAATTTAATGTTGACCTTGCTCATGGTGCACCTTCTCCACAGCCGTAACATTGTGTTCCTCACAATATTCTATTACCCTTATGCACTTTGTGAGGTATGATCTGTCTGTGCTGCATGCAAAACAAAACTTTTTACTGTACTTGGGTACATGTGACAATAATAAATCAAATCAAATCAAAAATTGCATCACACTCCTGACTTGTGCCTTGTAGTTGATGGACAGGCTTTGGGAGTTGGGAGGTGAGTGACTTGCCGCAGTAATCCGAGCCTCTGACCTGCTCTTGTAGCCACTATGTTTATGTGATGAGTCCAGTGAGTTTTTGGTCAATGGTAACCCGCCAGGATGTTGATAGTGGAGGATTTAGTGATGGTAACAGCAGTGAATTTCAACGGGAGGTGGTTAGATTATCTCTTAATTGTGATGGTCATAGCCTGGCAATTGTGTGGCACAATGTTACTTACCACTTGTCAGCCCAAGCCTGGATATTGTTCAGCTCTGGTTGCATTTGAACATGGACTGTCTTGATGTCTGAGGAATCGTGAATGGCACTGAACATTGTGCAATCATCAGCAAACATCCCCACTTCTAACCTTGCAATAGAGGGTAGATCAATGATGAAGCAGCTGAAGATGTTTGGATGAACACCTGAAGAGATGTCCTGGAGCTAAGATCACTGACCTCTAACAACCATGACTATTTTCCAATTTGTTAGGTATACCTCCAACCAGTGGAGAGTTTGCCCCCTCAAACCCATTGATTCCAATTTTTCTAGGACTCCTTGATGCCACACTGGGTCAAATGTAGCCTTGATGTCTAGGACTCTCACCTCTAGAATTCAGCTCTTTTGTCCCCATTTGAACTAAGTCTGTAATGAGGTTAGGAGCTGAGTGGTCCTGGTGGAACCCAAACTGGGCATCACTGAGCAGATTATTGCTGAGCAGTGCTGCTTGATAGAACTGTTCATGACTCCTTCCATCTCTATGCAGTTGATCAAGAGTAGACTGTTGGGGCAGTATTTGGCTGGGTTGAATATGTCCTACTTTTTATGTTCAGGACATAACCTGGTAAATTTTCCACATTGTCAGATAGATGCCAGCATTGTAACTGTTTTGGAAGAGCTTGGCTAGGGAAGCAGCCAGTTCTAGAGCACATGTCTTCAGTCCTATTGCTGGAATGTTGTCAGGACCCATTGCCTTTGCACTATCCAGTGTCTCTAATTGTTCCTTGATATCACGTAAAGTGAATTGAATTGTCTGAAGACTGTATCTGTAATGCTGGTGACCACTGGGGGAGGCCAAGATTAATCATCCACTCAGCATTTATGGCTGAAGATTGTTGTGAATGCTTCAGCCTTATCTTTTGCACTGATGAGCTGGGCTCTTCCATCATTGAGGATGGGGATATTTGTGGAGACACCTTCTCCAGTGAGTTGTTTAATTGGCCACCTCCACTCACGACTGGAGTGGCAGACTGCGGAGCTTAGATCTAATCCAGTGGTTGCGGGATCGTTTAGCTCTGTCTATCACTTACTGCTTATTCTGTTTGGCTCGCAAAGAGCTACCTCTTTGGTAGCTTCATCAAGTTGACATCTCATTTTCAGGTATGCTTGGTGCTGCCCCTTTTGTGCCCTCTTGCACTCTCTCTTGAACCAGGGTTGATCCCCTGGCTCGATGGCAATGGTTGAGTGGGGAATATGCCAGGCCATGAGGGTGCAGATTGTGCTGAAGTACAATGTTGCTGCTGCTGTTGGCCTACAGTGCCTCATGGATGCCCAGTCTTGATCTGTTCAAAGTCTGTCCCATTTAGCATGATGATAACGCCACACAACACTAAGAAAAGAATCTGGGTTTAAAGCTCGAAAATCCTTTTCATATTCAGAGTATTTTAAATAATTTTTTCTCAGGATGTGAAAAAGAGTTATCTCTGAATTTTGATTTTATAAACAGGCCATTTAGACAATATATAAAAAAGAAACTAGATAAAAGGTGCTCAATATACTAGTGGAAATTATTTTCCCCCTAAGTTCTCTATACAATAAACAATTCATTAACCTGCCTTGATAACTAAATTCACAGTAACATATGGTGTATGCTACTCTATGTATATGTTGTGTACACTGTATGTATATGGTGTTTGGGGAGGCGATGGCCTTGTGGTATTATTGCTGTTAATCCAGAGACCCAGATAACGTTCTGGGGACCAGGGTTTGAATCCCGCTATGGCAGATGGTGGAATTTGAATTCAATAAATATCTGGAATTAAGAATCTAATAATGACCGTGAATCCATTGTCAGTTGTTGAGAAAACCCATCTGGTTCACTAATGTCCTTTCAGGAAGGAAACTGCCATCCTTACCTGGTCTGGCCTACATGTGACTCCAGACCGACAGCAATGTGGTTGACTCTTAACTGCCCTCTCAGGGTAATTAGGGATGGGCAGTAAATCCTGCCTAGCCAGTGACACCCCTCATCCATGAATGAATAAAAAAAATTGTTTCTGGAAAGGGAATGTAAAGAATCAGGAATTGTTTACTTACCTCTTCTAATCGCCATTTGTTAGCTACTCTCATATAATTACCTGGATGTCCATTGATCCTATCAGAGAAATAAATTAATTACTGTATTGCTTAGTGACTAAACAGGATACTAATACTACACATTCACTGCAAGTGAACTACCACTGTACACTCACATGGAATTGTACATTCATATTCATGAAAAAATGTGAAAGGAGACAAAGTCAATGGGCTGAACTTTGCTTTTTTTTTGGCTCAGTGTGAGTTGCATTGAGTTTTTGGAAGGGATTCTTGCCAAAAGGGCCGGTCAGATTTTCCATCATATCTTCCCAAATGCACCTTGTTATCTCCCTAGCCCACCCATGGCATCCTCATGTCCAATTCTATCCCTATCTTATCATGTACAACCTGATACTCACTAACATCCCTCCAAATGACTGTTTATGGCCAGACAATCTTTAAAAGTTCACTGCCTAAGCAGTGTCTGTGCAGAGCTATCTGGTTCCTGACAATTGCCCTGGACATTGCACACAGAGAAAATGGGTGCTGCTTTTTTGTGGACAGGGATGCGGAAGTGGATGTAGTGGTCAAATGCAATATGTCCTCTTCCTCCTGATGGCGTCTATGGCACCAGACCTTGCTTGGTTTGAGTTTGCCACCTGGGTCAGTGCTGTCTCAGGTGTCTGGAGAATGACTGGCAGTGTAGGAAGAATGAGAATTACCTTCTCCACTCCAACCATCTTTTCTCTGAAAGGTCATACTGACCATGTCCAAGCCCCTTGAGGGAGCCATGGGAGGCTGCCCTTGACTTATTGTACCAGGAACTTCTGAGCGCATGCTACCTCCCTTGACGTGACTGATGATTTTTGAAAACCATAACAAGCTTCCTTGCTCTGTGTTGAATAACTGACAAGTCAAGACAATGCAAGGTAGGGATGCTGTGAGCATTCAGCTAAGTCCAGAGTAAGTGAATGTGAGATAACAAGCAAAAAGCCCAGAAATGCAGAATGATTCAGTCCATGAACTGGATATCTGTCCCTGAGTGCACAGTGTCCTTGCAGCAGTCATTACAATGATAGTTGCTAGTGCAGCCTCAGGTTCAGAATTGAAGTGCAGAGCTGTCAAAAAGTGGACTGGAGATATGCCATGAGGGTTGTTAAAGGCTGGAACATGTTGGATGCCAATATGTAGTATGTATTGCTAGTGCCCATGAAAGGTACCCTGGTGATGTTGGCATCCAGTGTCCATTATGGAGACTTCACAGCCAATGATGACCTCAGGTCTCCATGAAGCTGCTCTGTGTTGAGAATTCTTGATGTCTAGCTTGTTTGGCAAGATGGCAAGATAGATATTAGAGAGGCAAGTTGTGGTGTTAATAAGGCATTTACTAAGTTATAGTCTCCTTTAATTGGCAACTCACTATTGCCTAGTGAGAAACATGCCAATCTGCTTGGCAGAAGCATAAAATATGTAGTGAGATGCTCCCATCATCAATATAAGTCTTGCCAGACTTCTCATGTGATTCTGCCACAAATCTCACTGTAGTGATCATAATAAGGCCAGCCAGGTGGACCTCACAGAATATGAGTTCCCTGATTGGACCAGCCCCAATCAGGTAGTTCTGGCTGATAGATATATGCAGGAGTTTCAGTGATTCTGTTCACTCTGACAGCTGGATCTGAGGAAGCCAGACCAGTGTCACGTACTATGCACAAGTAAATGAAGGATGACTTTGTGATGGATACTGGCCTCTGTAGCCTTATTTCAGTGGTGACGAGAGAAAAAATATGCTCCTGAAGAAATTCACTCACAACAGTTGTCTTTGAGTTGGGGTATGCATTTCTAGCATCATGCTGTTATTTGGGAAGCTTGACTCATTCAATCCTGCCATTGAAGACTGGGCCCACTATGTGAAAAGAATGTGTTATTTTTTCTGGGTAAATGGCATTGGGGCAGATAAAAAAGCAATTAGTAATTCTGCTGACTACCTGTGGACTTGCAGCTTTTTCAGTTATAAGAAGCCTAACATTTCCTAAGGTACCAAATATGAAAAACCTTTCAAGAATTGATGGATTTAGTTGAGGAATATTATGACCCAAGTCTCCTCTAATTCTGAGATGCTGTGGTTTTACTCGGCAGCTTCAGAGCCAGGAGAATCTGTGTCAGGATTTTTGACGAGGTTAAGATGACTGACAGAGTCATGTGGCCTTGGTTTAACCCTTAATGAGATGCTGAGAGACTGTTTGGTATTTGGGATTAATGATGTCACCATGCAAAAGCACCTACTAGCTGAAGCCCAACTGGACTGAGAAATTGCCACAAGTGAAACTTATGAGTTACAGGGTATGCCGATGGGAGTGGACACCCTTGCCAGGCTGACTGACCTTGGGGAACACTACTTGAGTGAAGACAATTGAATAGTCTCACTCAGGACATATCCTGATCAGAAGAACTCTAGGTCAGCCCACAACGAAACCCCAAAACAAAGCCAAGCCTTGATCAACATTTAGTCAAGATTTGGCCCAGTAAGCCATTGTAGTTGCTGCCAGAATGCAGACTCAGGACAGCCAAAGAATCCCTCTAGGTCTGAATTGAATAAGAGGACTCACAGGCCTATATTCAGGAGAGTGCACACACTGGAAAGCACACCTACATCTGGCTTGGAATAGTTAAATTGCTCAGCAACATTCAAATCAGAACCAATCAAAATAAACATCTGGTTAAATGATCACCTGGCTCTAATGGAGGTTGATACCAGTGCGGCTATGTCAGAGATTGCAAACTAGTCTTCAACAAAGTTTGATCTGGACTCCAACTCTTAAGTTTATGTAAAACTTCAACTAGACTGAAAACCTATACCATGAAACCGTTACAGATTAAGGGTACAACTTCAGTTCTGGTCTCATTTGAGAAGCAGCTGGTTCCCACTGATTGTAGTTAAAGGCCCGGGCCTAAGCTTGATGGGGTGAAATTGTTTGCCCAATTGAAGTCCTAATTAAATGCCTAGATGTTTTTGGGAAAGTCTAGGGACTGTCAAAGGAGCCAAGGACACCTTGCATGTTGATCAGGAAGCAATTTCATGATTCTGCAAGGCCTGGACAGTGCCATTTGCCTTACATGCAAAAGTAGAGCCAAAAATCAGAGGGCCAGAAAGCGAAGGAATCATCAAACCAATACAGTTTGCAGAATGGGCAGCAGTGGTTGTACCGATTGTGAAGCCCGACAGGTTGGTTCACCTTTGTGGGTATTTTAAACAAATAGTAAACTGCTTTTTGCAGACAGATGAAAAATCCCTTGCATAGAAGGCCTATATGCAAAGATGGCTGGGTCGGGGGGAATGCTTCCTTCACGGAGTTGGACAAGAGCGATGCGTACCTGCAATTGCAGTTAGATGTGGATTCCCAGAAGTATGCTACAATTAATGCTCATAAGGGTTAGTACAAATGTACAAGACTGCCATTTGGGGTATCATCAGCATGTGTCATTCTTCAGCGGACGATGGAGAACATTTTACAAGGCCGACCCAAAGTTGCCATTTTTCTGGATCATGTGCTAATAATGAGGAAGACCAATAAACAGCATCTAAAGAACTTGGACACAGTCCATAAACTTTTCACCAAAGCAGACACATACCTTAGATAGGAAAAATGTTTCTTCCAGGCATCCCAAGTGACCCAGGTGGGTTACAGAGTTGACAAAGCACATTGGAAGGTGGATAAAATGAGGGCGATCAACGGTGACCCAGCTCCTAAGTGTGTACCGGAATTTCAGTCTTTCCTTGGATTGGTGAATTGTTATGGAAAATTCATGTGTAACCTGGCCTCCATCCTAGCACCCTTACATCTGCTATTGAAAAAGGGTCGGCCTTAGAAATGTTCTTGTAGCAAAAACGTAGCTTTTAGGAAAGTAAAAAAAGCAGCTATCGTCATTGAAGGTGTTGGCGCACTGAGATCCCAAGCAAGAGCTGGTGCTGATATACAATGCCTTCCTGTATGGTACTGGAACAGGGTTGACTCACAGATGGCCCAATGGAGAGGAATGCCCGATAGCTCATGCTTCGTGGACTTTGGCTGACACAGAGCGTAAATATGCCCAGATGGAGAAGCTCTGGGGCACAGTGGGAAAGGGTAAAGATAACCAGGACCTTAGTGATAGGAGACTCGATAGTTAGGGGGACAGACAGGAGATTCTGTGGGTGCAAATGGAAATCCAGGACAGTGTATTGCTTCCTGGGTGCCAGGGTCCAGGATGTCTTGGAGTGGCTGCAGAATGTTCCCAAGGGGGAGGGTGAGCAGCCAGAGTGATTGTGCATGTTGGCACAAATGACATAGGAAAAAATAGGGATTAGGTCCTGCAGAGTGATTATAGAGAGCTAGGAGAAAAGTTTAAAACCAGGACCTCTACGGTGGTAATCTCTGAGTTACTTCCAATGCCATGTGCTAGTGAGGTTAAGAACAGGAGGATATGGCAGATGAGTGTGTGGCTAAAGAGTTGGTGCAGGAGACAGGGATTCAGATTACTGGATCATTGGGATCTTTGCTGGGGCAGAGGTGACCTGCTCAAGAGGGAAGGGTTGCACCAGAACTGGAGGAGGACCAATATCCTGGTGGGTAGATTTGCTAGTGCTGCAAGGGAGGGTTTAAACTAGATTGGCAGGGGTTGGGATCCTCAATAGCAGGGAGACAAGTGCAACGCTGGAACGAGATACAGTAATCAGAAATAGCAAGTTGAAGAGACGGGTCAGGCTGGAACATGATAGGAAGCGAGGGATGCCTGTTGGATTAACTTGCATCTATTTCAATGCATGAGAGCTGACAGGTAAAGCAGATGAGCTCAGGGTGTGAAGAGGTACGTTGGATTGGGATATTATAGCCATTACAGAAACATGGCTAAGGGAAGGACAGGACTGGCAGCTTAATGTGCCAGGGAACAGCTGCTTAAGGTGGGAGAGAGGTAGAGGAAAGAAGGGAGGGGGAGTTGCATTTTTGATTAAGGGGAGTATTCCAGCAGTAAGTCAGACATGAAATCACTTAACGATCATCCAGTGCAGCTTTGTGGGTGGAGATAAGAAATGAGTCGGGTGGTGATGTTATTGGGGTTGTACTACAGGCCCCCAAATAGTCAACAGGAATTAGAGGACAAATATGCAGGGAGACTGGGGAGACTTGCAGGAGCAATAGGCTTGTCATAGTGAGGGATTTTGATTTTCCTAATATAGACTGGGACTGTCATAGTGTTAAGGGCTTAGATGGGATGGAATTTGTTAAATGTGTTCAGGAAAGTTTCCTCAAGCAGTACATAGATGGTCCTACTCAGGAGGAGGCAAAACTCGATCTACTCTTGGGAAATAGGGCAGGACAGGTGACTGAGGTGACAGTGGGGGAGCACTTCGAGACCAGTGACCATAGTTCTATTAATTTTAAAATAGTTATGGAGAAGGACAAAACTGGTCCACAAGTTTAAGTTCTAAACTGAGGCAAGGCGAATTTTGACGGAATTAGACAGGATCTTGCAGAGGTTGATTGGAGTAGTTTGCTTGCAGGCAAAGGGACAACTGGCAAGTGGGAGGCCTTTAAAAGTGTGATAGCTAGATTTCAAGGTTTATATCTTCCGGTGAGGGTGAAGGCTGCAAAGTTGGCAGGAGTAGGGAACCCTTGATAACAAGAGATATTGAGGCTTTGACCAGAAAAAAGGAGGCATGTCTCAGGTACAGGCAGCTGGGATCAAGGGAATTCCTGGAGGTATGAAGGGGATACAGGAGTTTACTGAAGAAGGAAGTCAGGATGGTGAAAAGGGGGCACGATATATCTTTGGTTGAGAAGCTTAGGGTGAATCCAAAGAGATTCTTTCAGCATATTACAAGAAAATGAATAACTAGAGAGAGAATAGGACCCCTCGAGGACAGAAGTGGACATGTATGTCTGGAACCCCAGGAAATGGGCAAGGTCCTCAATGAATATTTCTCCTCTGTGTTTATAGTGGAGCAAGACATGAAAACTTGGGAACTTGGGGAAGTTAGTGGTGATATCTTGGGGACAGTCCATATCACTGTAGAGGAATTGTTGGAAGTATTAGAATGCATGAAGGTGGATAAATCTCCTGGTCCTGACCAGATATATCCAAGAACCCTGCATGAGACTAGAGAAGAAATTGCGGGTGCCCTCGCTGATATATTTGCACCATCATTAGCGACGGGATAGGTCCCAGAAGACTGGAGGGTAGCAAATGTTGTGCCCTTATTCAGGAAGGGCTGCAAAGAAAAACCACATTTCTGCAAGGAGAGATTTAGTACAGCCAGTCCACCTAGCCTACACATCTTTGGACTGTGGGAGGAAACCGGAGCACCCGGAGGAAACCCACGCAGACACGGGGAGAATGTGCAAACACCACGCAGACAGTCACCCGAGGGTGGAATTGAACCCGGGTCCCTGGTGCTGTGAGGCAGCAGTGCTAACCACTGTGCCACCTTATTTGGCTAGACGATGTAGTCCTGATCAAGCAGGTGGACCACATGAAAGCTGCAAACTTGTAAACAGGCCAGGAGCAAAACATACGCAGCCCTTCAGAACAGCCAGAAAGGCTTTTGAAATCCATGGGTTCTCCCCCTCCGTCTAATGTTGAAGAAACCCTGGAGTCTGAGATGGACACAGTGGATGTCACAGTTTTGACACCTCTCTCGCCTGAAGAAGAAGATGAATTTCTTCGAAGAAGCTCCAGGTGCAGAAGGCGGGCTATGGTCCAGTAAATGCCGCCCGCATCCAAGGCTGAGTCTGAGGAACCGGACCCGGTGCGAAAACACCCCAGGAGAGGCAACAAGAGAAAGAACAGGCTTATGTCCCCAGGCTTGGAGGGGGAGGGTGTGGTGATTGTAATGAGGTCAGCCAGGTGGACCTCATAGAATACGAGATCCCTGATTAGGGTTGTTAACCTGGTTCAATCAGGGAGCCCAGGCTGACAGATATAAACAGGAGTGTCAGAGGTTCTGTTCACTTATGAGGAGACCGGACTAGTGTCTCGTGCTATACACTTGTAAATAAAGGGTATTTGGGTGATGGGATACTGGCCTCTGTGGAGTTATTTCAGCCACTTGTTCAGACCCCTATAATCCATCTGATGATAAAATACAAGCCTAATGCCAAGAGCTACAGCACAAAAGCAAATCATTGCAGATGCACCAATTGAACTAAGAACTGAAAAGGTTAGAAACATTCAACATGTCTGACATTTGCTATGGAGAGAAAAACGGAATTTGTGTTCAACAACAAAAAAAAAATTGCTGGCAAAACTCAACAAGTGTGGTTGTTTGTGTGGGGAGAAAACAGATTTAACGTTTCAAGTCTGGTGACTTTATCAGAACATAGAGTTTCACCAGCAATTTCTACTTTTGGTTCAGATCTTCAGCATCTGCAGTTCCTTGTTTTATTGTAAAATTAACATTCTGCTGCGGGATCTGAATGACTGAAGTGAACCTCAATAGGGTTCAAAGACTCCAGAAGGGCAGAAAAGGTCGGTCTTCAAATATTTTTGGACATTAAGCCCAAACTCTGACTTTTCTCAGCATTCTCCTTAACAACACTCCTTAGACCAACATATCATACTGCTCCACTTCCATTATTCCATCCTCATATCCCCAACTCACTAGCCAACATTGACACTCACTCGCGTCTTTGTACTATCTTATATAGTGCCTCACAGTGAACCTCCATTTTTTTAGTGTTATTCTTTGATAGGATGTGAGTACCACTGGCAAGGCCAGTATTTCTTGCCCATCATTAATTTATCCATGAGTGATTTGCCACACCATTTCAAAGACCAGTTAAGAGTCAACCAAATTGCTGTGGGCTTGAAATCACAAAAAGGCCAGACCAGGTATGGATAGTAGATTTCATTCCCTAAGAGACATCTGTCCTCTCCACATAATTCACTTCTCACACTCATAACTCTCTGCTTTCTCTCCTTGCTGAGGAAAATGCAAGAATGGATGATTGTTAAATTTGCTGATGCAACAAGGATAGATAGGAGAGTGGATTGTGAGGGGGACATAAGGAGTCTGCAAATGAGTTTAACAGTGTTAATTAATGAGTTAAAATGTGGGATCTAATATGGGATGATGTGAACTGAAGGATGGAAAAGCAGTACATAACTTAAATGGCGAAAATTTACATAACTCTGCAGTAGAGAGGGATCTGATGCCCTGGTATATTAATCACAAAACATTGGTATGTAGGTACTGCGACTGATTAGGAAGGTAGTTGAAATATCGGCATATATTGCAAGGGTTAAAGAGTATGAAAATAGAGAAGTTTTGTCATAGTTGTATAGGGCAATGGTGAGACAGTATCTGGAAATTTACTACATATTGTTTTGTTCTCCTTACTTAAGAAAAGATAAAATTGCGCTAAAAATAGTTTGAAGAAGGTTCATTGACTGTTTCTTGAAATGAGGTGGCTATCCTAAAGGAAAGGTTGGAGAGTTTTAACCCAGATCCACTGGAGTTTATAAGAATGAGGAGTGACCTTATTAGAACATATAACATTATAAGAAGACTTGACAGGGTGGATATTAAGAGGTAGTTTCTGCTTGTGAAAGATGCTCAACTAGGAGCACCATTTAAAATAAAGGAACACCCATTAAAATGAAGATGAGGAGAAATGATTTTATCTCAGTGGGTCATTAGATTATGGAATTATCTTCCAAAGAGAATAGTTAAGAGAGGTTCATTGAATAAATTTAAGGTTGAATTAGATATATTCTTGATTAAAAACAGATTCGTGGGTTATTATGGCACAGTCAGATCAGGCATGGTCTCTTCAAAAGGTGAAGCAGGTTCAAGTGGCTATATGATCCACTCTTGCTCCTAATTCATATGATTGTCAATATGAACGTACCAAGAAGATAGAGAGAACAGGAAGTGATGGAGTATGTCCTTTATAATAGCCACTTGATGGCCACTAAAAATGCATGCCTGTCTGGTCTACTGGAAGGACATCTTGTTCTATGATGCTGAGTATATCAGCAATTACTAGCTATGAAGGCCTCAGCCTCCTGTGACAATGGTGCACACGTTGAGACAGTTGATCCTCTGTTCTGTAGATCCTGTGTTGGGAGTCTACCTCCTTCAAGCTGGATCTCATTTCTGTGGTATATGGCTGAGGAGAAGGTAGCTGATACTGGTGCTGATGTTGCTCCTATTGCCATTGGTATTGCTGGTATTACTAACCTTGTTCATCATCAAGTCAGAGCTGCATAAGCTGTTCCTATGCTGTAGTGAAAGACTTGATAATAAGGCAGTATAGATCAGGGTGAGTGAAGTACAATACATGTGATATAACTTCAAAGCAGTTGCAGATGACCAAACAAGCGGTAAAGAAGTGCTATCTATACCAGTCTCTCACCCAGGCAGGGCAACAGTTCGTCAGTTTCAATCTTTGATGAATCCCAAGCATCCTCCCATCCCCTACTTTTACCTGATTGGTCCAAGTTCAACACATTTCAGGAAACACAAGCACTAGCTGTTACAAGTTAGAATTCTGGGTTAAATCTAAGGTAGTTGGGGACTGAAATATTTTAATGACAGGTAATAGCTGACAGGTTCTGGGCTTTTCCTGTTTATCTGCAAACTCATCTGGATTAAATCCAGATATGAGCAGGAACAGATTGAATTCCTGATCCAACACCACTTTCTGGGGCTTTACACCGCCATCCATCTCATCAAACCACCTGTAACCAACCCCCTTCTGCTGCCAGTTTGCACCCAAACTCACACCTTTTGCTCGTGAGTTAAAATTCTGCATAAGTTCTTTTACCACACTTCCAAATGTACCATGCTATTACTCACAATGAATCATAGGATTCGCTGATTTATACAAATTGGAGTGTTTAATGTTACCCACCTTCCCAGAAAAAAAGCGATGTAAACAATAGAAGTAAACATTGTGAAGAACTGGAATGTGAACATTTTTACAGTGAAGCTGTTTTCTCGGGCTAACACAGTACGTGTCCTTTCTGAAAAATATCAATACACTGTGGTAAGTGACATTTTTTTCCCTGTATAATTAGAACAGTTCTATTTTATCACAATGTGACTCAAATCCCAACTTCCCCAACTATATTAGTACTTCTCTCATCTGCCAGTAGCTTTATTGGGATTTGCTTCTTGATATTAGATGTTGTACTTTGGTTTCTGACCATTTAAAAATTGAAGTAAGACTGCTCCCATTGACCACATCGCAGCCAGTAGACAAAGGGATCATCTACTTGACCTATCAGGGCAGCGCTTAAATTCAGGTATAAAGGTTGGAACAGCAGCATTTCACCTCTCGAACATCTCAGTCACACTGACATCCTTGACTTAACTAAACTGTTCTGCTTTTGATACATTCTTGTCATTATTCTGACTTGCCATAGCCTCTAAAATACTTTACTTCCAGTTGACTATCTTGTCATATTCAGTTGCATTCCAGTGCAACCTGCTGAAAAACAGCAAGGACTTGAATGTGCAGGATCACTATCATTTTTGGCTTTGCAAGTGGTGAAATCTGTGTTTTTCCATTATGAATCAAATTATGCAAACAGAAATGCCTGAATGTACAATTATGGGTTTGGATTTTCCATACTTGGAGCTAAGGACCCTTGATTTCTAAATGGGCCTGGGTGGGCCTCATTGGCAAGTTCAGGTTAAAATATATTTTCAATTGGCATACCACACAGTTGAAAGGGGATATGCTGAGGTTTTGGTGGCAGCCTGGACACTTTCCTAAATCAAAAGCAGAAACTGGACTGTCCTGTTAGATGGGGAAGATTTTTGCTGATAATCTGTCCACGCTGATGTGTGGATATTGGGAACCATTGATTGAATGAGAATTACATTATATTGCAGAATTATAAAATTACATACCTAGCGCACACAGCTTCCTTGCAACTACATAATTGACCTGGAATATAAAATGTTGACAATTATTTTTTTATTTCCTTATTTTAGGATAAAATACTTCTAGACTCTTAAGCCTAAAATTAATGTGCTCTGTTTTTTAGGTATAGGTGTTGCATTTAACGACCTACAGCCAGAAAATTTCAGATGGGACACAAGTAAAATTGATGTAACCACCTCATTTTGATTGCACCAGAGACCCTAGTGAATCCATATCACACATCTCCGTATAGCACGCAGATTTCCATGCACCTCAGGTAGGCAATTACTGTTGTGTGCAAACCTCATTCTCCAAGGAGTGTTCAACTTTTAAAAGCATTCCATGGAAGAACAGATGAAAGCACACGGTTCCTGTAAAATTAATGTGCTGAAGGCTCCTGGACAATCCCTTTGGAAGAGTCAGGGTATGTGTGATGTTACAGAATGTCAAAGAAAGGCACTTTATTTCAGTGACACCAACCCAAAAGTACTGGTGAGAGAAGTGGAGGCCAAGAGAAAGAGAATTCTCCTTGGTGCCTAAAGAATTTAGAAGGGCAGGTGAGGGAACTCAATTGGGTGGGAGACAAAAGATCTGTTTCCTGATGATGGATTAAAATGCTGCTGTTAGTTCTGAGTACTTTCCAGTTGGTTCAGGTTTCTTGGTTGTGAACCTGTTTTTCATTTATTAGCATATTACGAATACTCATTAATACTGAAGCCCATTGGAGTTTATTAACGCTAGTCAAAAATGGGTAACACGTTTGTTCATAAACCTGACGAAAAAATTGAGGCATAAACAGGGGCAAGGACAGAAATCATGGGCACCGGCACTGCTCGTGGTCCAGGTCCCATCCCTGGCCTCACCCTGACTGAAGCCCACTCAAAGACCTAGATCCTGGTTATTACGCTGATAGACACCCCCATCTTTGTCCATGAGCATGAACTTGGCAGGTAGACTTCTTCCTCCAAGATCTGTTCAGTACAAACATCGTCTACTACTTGGTTCCTTCGAAACCAAGCTAATTATTTCTGCAAACCTTTATGGCATAAGAGGTGAAACCTTTCAGAGTCGATTAGCTCATGAGATGTCTCAGTCACATGCAGTATGGCTTGATGTTGATAGAGCCTTGGGCTGAATCTTGAGTTTTTTTGGCTAAGTCCAAGTTGCATCAGGCTTTAGAAGATTTTTCACCACAAAGCCCTGCACGTTCTCTCACTATTTTACCAAACCTGCACGCAATATTACCTACTCTGTTGTTATAGTGTCTATCACATCCAATTCTGGCCATATCTTACCATGATCCATTCCCAAGATAATTCACCACTCAGCAGATATCTCATAATTCACTGGTATCCCTTGTGCCCGTGCCATCTTTAAAAGCCCATCTACACCTGAACAAAAAATATCAGTCTGGAGTTGTCCTGCATGGTTCCTGACATTTGCCCTGTACATACAAAGGGAGAAATAGGCAGCCCACTGTGCAAGCAGGGACCTGGATGTCCTGCTGGATTGGGTGGTGAACAAGTGGGATGTCCTCTTCCCCCAGAACCAGGAGTACAGGCCACAACACCAGACCATGCCAGCGTGGTCTGAAGTCACCACTCAGGTTAGTGCAGTCTCAGCCATCTGGAGAAATACTCAGCATGGTAAGAATAACGTTAGTGGCCTTCTCCACTCTACCATTGTAAGTGCCACATACTCTCTGATGCCTCACAATCACTTTCTCTCTACTACTGTACCCATCTCCAACAAAGAACTCATGCTCTACTACTCTAAGTGATGCCTACCGTATCTTCCCTCATTCACTGACATTTACCCCAATGCCCGACACCACAAACCCTACATGCTTCTGTGCTGCCTACACACTTGCTCAGGACACATATCCACTAGCACTAACAGTAACTGCTGTGCCCCCCACTTTCATCTCAGGTAGTCAAGGTGAGTAAAGACATCTCCCTGTTTCATCTTCTATCCACCATACCACCCAGGTCTTCCATTGCACCATATGCCATCACTCATCCAAAAGCACACCCAGGCACTCAAGGTTCACCACTCAAATCCTTCTCTCATACCTTATCCATTTCCATATTCCAATCACACCAGCTGTACAAAGATCCTACCTTGTTTCCAAAAAACCTAATGCCATTAAGCTTTGGCAAAAATATCATTTATGTACAGTGAAATTGTCGCTGACATTTTTCCCTTTTACCTGTGGGAGGTGTTCTGCAACAGATGAGAAAGCCAGAGAACTGGCAGTAGATCAGTATGCCTTCTTTGCTTCAACATCCTCAAGAAGATGGTCTAATGAAGCATGAGGACCAATGCCACAGAAACAGAGATACCAATTCTGGAAAAGCCAATGAGGGTGATGGTACATAGCTTTCTTAAGTTCTTCTTCCTGTTCTTCATTCTTATCTTGAAAGGACCAATGGAGTGGAAATCCCAGATCATATGACTGTTTCTTTCTCACACCTGATACTCTCCATATACTTTTGTCCCTTCAGAGCTGAGTTTGGATTTTGTTTAACATTTGGCTATAAACACGGCAGGCAGTTCTTGCTTAGCGCAAAAGACGTGGACTTTGTTAATTTTCCAATTTTGATCTTTTGTATTCTTGAATAAATATCTCATTAGTCATATGTTTGTACATTTGACATCTTTGGGTGACCCCACTTTCACATTATATGTCCTGCTGGTGAGGGAAAAGCAGCAGTCAGTGAGACAATGTATTAACATCACATGGTGCTGAGATTAGGTAGCTCTAAGGTTCCATCACCATATTAGAGTAAAACACACAGAATGCTGGAGAAACTCAGCAGGTCTTCCAGCTTCCACAGAAGTTTGATTTATTTTCGTAACAGAGGTTTGTCATGAAGTGTTCCATGATAGCCTGCAAGTTGAGAAGAATCCTGAGAAATCTCCTTTGACCCTTCCATCGTCATTGATCTTTGAATGTTTCAAAGAGCATATATGCTGTCAAGTTGTTTTGAAATACTTGAGCATCCAGTAGGTCAGTTCTGAACCTGTGAAAGGCAGCATTTTAAGTAGCTTTTCTCAGCAGACCAATGTACTACGAGGCAGAGTGGACATGTGAGCTGATCTTCCTATATATCCCACCTAGAATCACTGTGCACTCCCTTGACAAACTGATACATACAATGAATCTCTCCTCGCAGAAATGTGGAAAATCATCACTAAATCTATCTGCAGTCAAGGAGTTATTTGCTAATGAGACGTAATGCTTTGTGATTGCAGCTTCTTTTCATATTGAGATATCTGATGAGGCTGCTAATCTTTTACATGGGTGTGGCTAAACAGGTCCAACAGCAAACTAGAGTAGTTATCTTCATAGTGGACATATATTTACAAAAGTCAAACTTTGTTTACAATGCTGGTTCATTCAGCCTCAGTAAATTTTCTTCTTCCTCTGTCTCTGATCACTTGTAAGGGCAATTCTAACTTACTGATGGATTCTTCTGTACCTATCTGTACTGTTTAATGAAGTCATTAATCACTGAGAAGAGGGACTCATCTTCTGCCTGGGGCTGAGCAGGTCCATTAAGTGCCAGAGACATTGGATGTTTTGTTATGTACCAGCTGCAGAAAAATGTCTGTGACGTGCTCACCAAGTTGTGTTCCCAAGTCTAATCTACAAAGAATACCTACTGAAGTGAAAGATTGTTAGCTGGTGAAGGCTTTTATTTTCTTTATTCATTCGCAAGATGAGGGTATCGCTGGCTAGGTAACATTTATTGCCCATCCCTAATTGTCCACAGGGCAGTTAAAAGTCAACCACATTGCTCTGGATCTGGAGTCACATGTAGGCCAGACCAGGTAAGGATGGCATTTTCCTTCCCTAAAGGACATTAGTCAACCAGATAGGTTTTTCCAACAATCAGCAGTGGAATCATGGTCATCATTGGATTCTTAATTCCAGATATTTATTGAATTCAAATTCCACCATCTGCCGTGGTAGGATTCAAACCCTGGTCCCCAGACATTATCTGGGTCTCTGGATTAACAGTCCAGCGATAATACCACTAGGCCATCGCCTCCCCAAGTGAAGGCCTGCTAGTGCATCCTTTGAGGTTTCAATGGCTTCATTCTCTGAGGATCTTTGGTGCTGGCCTCTTTGCGGAGATGCACTGGTTGGGAACAAGTTGTCTAAGACAGATAAAAACTTGTGCAGATTAACAATGAGCTAGCATTGGTGCTAATGGGAGAGCAGCACACAGCACAGCATAATAAAGGCCATAAATTAATAAATTAGCTTTCTTGTCACATGTACTCAAGTGAGTACAGTGAAAAGTTTACAGTTGCCACATTACAGTGCCATTGTAGGTACAAAGGTACCTGGGTACAGATACTTAAGATCAAATTCTCAGGAAACAAAAAAATTAGAAAAGTAAAGAAATAAATAGTTCAGTATAGTAGGTCATTGAAATAAATTAGAAAAATAAAGAAGTAAAGAGTTCAGAATATCAGTCTTCTGACCCAGTCCATTCCAGCACCTAGCCTCAAGGGAGACCTCCAATACCTCGCCCCTGCCTGCACCAGACCCACCAACGTAGCAGTCACCCCATTTTAGGTGCCATCTCTTCACCGCTGGGCCCACTTTGCTGACACCACTGAACTCACATTTGCCCTGCAGCCAAATGTTCCTGGCTTTGCTGCCAGGCGAGGCTGTCGACAGGCCACAAGTCCGCCGCCACCATCTTGAAGAGTCCACTGCCGCTGGTGCTGCCATCCCTGATGAAAAGCCTAGCTGCCGCTGCCACTGGCCCTGATGCCAGGGCAAGGACCCTGCTGCTACTGCCACTGGCCCCTGAATGGCCCCGAATTTGCTGCTGCCAACCTCTTATCGCAGGGAGAATATCGGGAACTGGAGTACTGGGTTGGCTACACACAGAGGTCTCTCTCTCTAGGGTGCAACTGTGCTATTCCCCAGAAAAATTCAGATTTTTCTCCCTGTAGAGTGTGAGGAGCCTGATTTCTAGCATTGCTCCCTGCTACTTGCCCATAGC